GCCTGTGGGGGGGTCCTCCGCATCTGGCATCCGCTCCCTTCACTTCCCCTTGTGCAGTTCATGGAGGTACACTGTACTAGAGATGAGGTTCCCTGCATTCTCGATTTCCGTCCAGTTGGTTGGAGGCTGACTACTGTTTGCGTTCCTCCTCCTGTTACTGCTCTCGCGGCTGTTACGGTTGCTTCCCGACGGGACCGCAGCAGCCTCCCCCACGAGTGGGTCGAACAGTGCGCTCGAGGCGGGTTCGGCATCCTCCATCGAGAGCTTGCGGTATTACCAGACCAGGTCCTCACCAGCAGTGTCCCGATTGTTGTCATGTTCTTCCCGCATGTCTTCCGTCAAGATTCCTCCTCCTCCTCGGAGGACCAGGTAGGTGGCTGGGACACCCCAGGTACCTCTGACACCATTTCGGCGTTGCAGCACACCCTGTTGCCCTCCCCTGCTAGGGCTTCCACGTCTACTGCCCTGCCCGCATGTACTGGAGTCACCCCGTCTGAGTTTCTCAACACCTCCCCTCCCAGTGCCTTGGAGCCGGCTACCGAGCCTGGCTCTGCTTCCTCATCGGCCGTTAGCCAACTCAGCGGTACGCGGGGTATTCTCTTGGCGGCTTGTGTGTTGCGTGGGCTGCATCATGACATCGGTAGACTCCTTGCCTGGGGTGCGTGCCTCGTCATTTCCTGTGGGATGCCTGGTAATGCCGTCCAGATGCACAGTGCACCTGCCACTCCTAGGGATGTTGTGGTTTCAGCTAGTAGGGCTCCCGACCGTCAGGTAGCGGCCCCAGCCGGTGCCCACACGCACTTACAGGCCAGGTGGCTTCAGGTTGGCGACTTTGGCGATGGGCCGCTTTGGTCAGCTCTTCCCTCCGCCAGTGAGGTGTTCCTCATCACCTGCCGCCTTTGGTGGCCCGGATCTTCGGTCCGCCTTGAGTTTTCCAACACTGAGAGTGCTCGCGACGCTGCCGCCGAGCTTTACCGTCAGGCCATCCGACTTGGTCGCCCCCAGATTGTTGCTGCTTCTTCAGGCCCTACCTTAGAGGCGGTTAACCTTGTCTCTCTTCCGCCTCGCCCTGAGACCCTGACGGTTCTTCTTGATCTAGGTAGAGAGGTTGTCTGTGTTGAACTGCCAAAGGACTACAGTGCTGATCATGTTCTTGCGGCTGCGCAGACCGCGGCGGCTTCGGCTGACGTCCAGATCCTTCGGGGCACTGCCCATCGGCTTCGCCAAGGCGACGTGGTAAGAGTGCTTGTCAGCACAGAGGCGCGCACCCTAGACGTCTCAGCCTTTGTTATTCCACATAATGCTGGCACTGCATCGCGCTGGCTTCAGGAAGGTCGAATCGTGTCGCTGCTCCATCCTGTCGCAGGTGTGTTATCTTTCGAGGTCCCGCGTGCATGCGACCTTGATGCTTCTGTGCTGGGTGCGTTGCTGCGCAGCGTTACCCCAGGCCAGCATGTCTTCGTTGAGCTGCCCGGAGCTGACCTTCTCCCTCATGCCGCCTTCGTTGCCGCCTTCCCTGGCCAGGACTGTGTCACCTATCGGTTGACAGATGCGTCCGACCCCTCCGCTGTGGGTCTGCACTTGGCCTTCTCTGGAGTCTTTGAATCTTTCCCGGCCTTCTTGGAAAGCCTTCTCCGCAGCAACCGTCCCGCCGCGGCTCTGCTACGGAGGTTGCAGCCCTTCGGCCTTTCTGTTCTAACCTGGGAATGCACTTCCTTTCCTGGTCGGGCCGATTGTCGCTACTGGCATGTCCACGTGCAGGCTGACTTTGCACGGGCCCGGGAGCACCTTTTGAGCATCAGCTGGGAGCCGAGACTTGTTCGCACGCCTCCGCCCCTTCCTCCCCCTAGGACCCGGGTTTTCCATAGCATAGGTTCCCAAACTAATGCCCCCTTCATTTCTGCCAGCACGCCGGCTGCTGTACTCCAGGCACCTCCGTCTGTTTGCGGTGCCGGCGTCACACCCGACTCTGCGTCCGAACTCGTTGACCTCTGGTGCGATGCATGGCACGTCAAGTGCTTGGTTGCATGTTTGCCTGGCTTCACTGTATGGGCTCTTCGAGAAGGGAGCCGACTCTACGGCATGTGCACCCCTGCCCCCTCCTGGGAAGCTGTCGCACAGGCCCTATCCCTGTCCCTCTGGGAGCTCCCACAGACGTTTCTGTCCAGCGACAGCCGTGTTTGGCCTTTCCCCCGTGACATCACAGGTGTTGCGATGCAGTGTGTCAGCGTCGGGTACGACTCTCCCGAAGGGGTCTCCCAACTGGTGCGCAACTGCGAGGCCGAGACGCCTAGCCCGCCACCGCCTCCGAGCCCTTTAGCCTCTGCTGCTCTTGGCTTGCCCTGCTTGCGGCGTCACTCGCTAATGTGTGCTCTCAGTCTCCTTCTCCCTGTTGTGTCAGTCCGCGTGACGGTTGAGCCTGCTCCCTTGATCTCTCAATTCGCGGAGTCCGAGACACTGCAAACCCGTCGCGATTTCTCGCGGCCCTGCACCATGTCTTGGACTCACGAGCTTGCCCGACAGACGCACGGGTTCGCCCTTTCTGCACCTCAACTCGGCGCGTATGTTACTGGCGCCTCACCCCACTCAGAAGTGCAGATGCACCTTTGGCTTCCTGGGCAAGGCCCCGTCCACCTGAGGGTTGGTGCACGCCACCTCGACCAGCATCTTAGTGCTTACCTCGGAGCCTTCTTGCCAGACTGCGAATACGGATTGCACGTGGCTTTCGATTCCAGCCCCCAAGTGCTTGATCTCCTCGTCTCCCCGCCTTCACCATATGGCTGGTGGATACTGCGTGACTCAATTGGTTGTGAGCTTCTCCGACCGGTGGTCCAGCACTACACCTCCCAATGCTCCTTTTTCTTCTGCGCTGTGGAGCCGGATGGGGTTGTCCGTAACGTTGAGCCCTCTGCCGAAGTCCGCCATATGTCTCCCTGCCCGCAAGGGGCCCGGGCGCTTATTACTAGAGTTCTTCCGGGATTAGAGGGTAGACTTGTTGATGGAGTTCTTCAGATTGTCGCAGCCCGGGCCCGGCCCCCCTCGCTTCTCGGCAGTCTAGCCTTGCTCATGCTTTGCCGCCACGTGGCCTCTATGCATCCTCCTCAACTCCTCGCTCTTGCCCCAGTCGCCGAGGCTCCGCCGTCTCCTCCGACAACCATTCGCATCTGGACTCTCAACATTAACGCACCTGTTGACTTGCCGTGGCGCCCTCAGGGTTACCCGACCCGGTGGTTGAGAGAGCTGATGTGCCGTCTACACCATATTGACGATCCCGGCGAGTTTCGGCCCACACATTCCACTACGGACAGCTCCGTCCAGCATGTCCTGTTCGTGCCGGTCGTACCTGCCACTCGACCCACGGTCCGGTTTTGGTTGCTCCACTGGGGGGATGCTGCGGCTGTTACTTTCGGGCATTCGCCTTTCAGTTGGGATGTCGTCTCTGCCCATCTCAGAGCTCTCTTCCCGGGGGGCCATTTACCAGAGCGGAGCCCCGCTCTCTCCTACGCCGGTCAGTTGTACTTGTCAGGGGCTGCCTTGCCTGATTTTCCATCAGGAGCTGTCATTCAGATTTTGATTGGTGCTCTTGCGAGGATCCCGGGCGATGACGACCCTTGGAACCCGGATCCGCTGGTGGTTGAGGGACCGTACTTCCGGCACGTTCCTAGTAGGGGTCCGGCGCTAGAACCGGCCATACTCCTCGATGGGCATGGGAACCGACGTGCTGCCGGCGCATCGCATGCCCCTCTGGTTGATCAGGAAGTCCAAACGGACCTCTCAGGCAATGGCACTGGCCTTGATCATGCTACGGTTTCCCGAGTTCACATGCTGTCTCAGGAGCTTTCTTTTCACACTTCACGACTCTGGGCCGGACTTGCTGAACCCGATGCCGAACCAGCCGGGGAATCGCAACCTGTTCTGCGACTAGCCTCGCAAAGTACCTGCGCTGCGGTGAATCCCTCAACTGTTGATCTGCTCGATATTGCGAGTGTTTCGAGCTGTCGGCGACAGGATAGGCTTTCGGTGGTTGTTCTGACCTTAGTATGGGCTCGGGGTTGCTCTGGAGCTTCAGCATTTGGGCGCCTCCTTGCCCTGGCAACCTTAGGTGCAGGTTCCATCATCAGTGTGCCGCCTGCGAGTTCGGATGACGAACAGTCCGAGGATGCAAGTCCACCACCTGTCCAAGCCTTCAACATGTCTGCTGCGGGGCCCAACCCGGTCTCTCGACCTGCTGGCCCACCACCACCGGAGCCTGTCAATGCTCCTTTCCAGCCTCGTATGTGGTACCTCCGCGCCGCTCGGCCGCTGGAGGACTACGCCCTAGGCCTCTGGCCGTCTTCAATTGAAAGGGAGCCTGCCGCGGACGAGGACACTGTCCGCCGCGTTCAGGCTGACTTGCTTGGTCTTCAACGTGGCCTGCGACCCTTTGCTGCCGCTATTCCACTTGGCACCCCTTTCTGCATTCACAACCCCTTCACCGCCCGACAGCAATGCGAGCTTGTCGAGTATTCAGCTGGCCCTGAGATCAATCCCTTTGTCCTATTCAGGGGACACGCCCGCAGCCGGGGTTGGGCCGATATTGTGCTCCTGCAACCGCAGCCTGATGCTACCGCTGTACACCTCATCGGGTGTCCACAGGCGCCTGGGAACGCCGCTGTCGGTATTGTGCTGGAAGGCCGCCTTGTGCCCTGCTGTCTCCCGGTCTGTGTTGGACCGCGGCATTACGTGCTCTGCAGCTTGACGGGAGTGAGTACGACCTTCGCCTCCCTGAGGTTCAGGAAGGGTCCTCGGTCGTCCAATTTCGTAATGGCGACTGTCTGGCTGTGAGACCTCGTTCTCAGTCACGGTCTCCTCCCCCGCCGGCCCAAGCCGCCGCCCTTGCTGCACCGACTAGCGAAGCCGAACCTGCTGCCGGCAGCCCCGACATCCCCTTCTCCTCACAAGGTCGCCCCTTTCTGTCTTGGGGCTGCTTCTCACTGATCTTCTGTCGGGTTACCCCACCAATGCGCCTCTCTCTTGGGCTCCTTGCTGGCGTCGCTCTAGCACAGGGCATGCATAGACCAGGTGGCTTCCCTTGGGGTACTGATCCAATCAACCGGGACTTCTCCGCCATTACGGCAGAGGACCCGGTCTACGTTGTCCTGCACAGTCCTTTCTTGGGGGTGTTTCCCCCATACACAGCCTCCCATGACACTCGCCACGGTCAAGTCTGGGCCCAGTTCCTCAACGACGACCCGGGATGGGCATCTGACTTCTTTCCTGTGTGGCCGGGCCCCGCCTTCAACGAGTTGTCCATGGTCCCGGTGGGACAAGATGAGGCCCTTGTGACCATTATGCTGATGTGGCGGGGTCACCACCGGGCCACGCTCACTCCGCGGACCATGACAGTGGCGTGGTTGACAGACTTTATCTCGCGTCACATCAGCAGCCCCGTTGGTGGCATTTCCCTGCCGCACGGGCTCGCGATCTGCGAGCTCTTTGATGTACCGCCTGCGGCTTTCCGTTTTCGCAACGGAGATGTTGTGTACATCCATGACCCTCCGGAGGACCCTTCTGAGCCGCTCGAGTTTGTCGATCCTTGGCACCTTCAGGATGGTCTTGCAGCTCACCACGCCCCCTGGGCTACGGGCTTTCAACTTATGTTCGGCATTGCTGTGCACCTGCTTCGCCCTAATCGCCCACCCCTGTTGGCCTCTGTCTCCGCTGGAGAAGCCTGGTGCCCAGAATCCTTTACGTTCACCGGCACTTTTCGTAACCACTTTCCAGGTATGTGGACACCCGTCCAGTGGTCCAGTGCCCGGGCTTTACAACTGATCGAGGTCCACGGTGTCGCGGCTCAGGTTAACGTGGTTGCTGCCTCTCCTGAAGGCCGCCTCTGCCGTACCGTCGATCGGATCGCCTCGCGCGATAGCCTTGCCGATCAGCTGCACTTCCTCCCTGGATCCCTGCAAGTGGGGGGAGTCCCCTCCTACGCTCTCAACCAGGCATGTGAGCTTCGGAATGGGGATGTCGTGTTCGGCGACTTTGCCCGGGGGGCCTGCGGCGGCCGCCCACTTCTGTGGGGTCTGGTCCTGGGCCTAGCCCCGGCTCTCTCCTCCTGTCGAATGGGAACCTTTCTTTCGCTCCTGCTGGGTTCCTTTGGGGCCCATTCCGGCCTGCTCTCTCGTCTCCTCATGATGACCTGGTGCCTCCCTGGCTCGCAAGCTATGGTTCCGGAAACTTCGGTGTTGAGCCTGACCTCTTCCTCTGCTATTCCACAAGCTGCTCCACCCAGGGTCTCGGTCACTGTGGCCAACCCTTTTGCGCCATGGTACCGTGTTGAGGCTGACCCGCGTCACCTCTTTGACGATGTTATGGCAGACGCCCACCGCACTTTGACATCGTGGCATCGGGGATTTGCTGCCACTGGCCTGGTTCTAGAAGGGTCCCAGGTTTTAGTCCCTCTCCCGGGAAGTAGGCTGGCTTGCCTTATTGTCTTGGGTTTAGGACAGATGCTCTGTGTCATCCTGCCGTCCTTCCTTACCCCTAGAGACCTCACTCAGGCCCTCCAGATGAGGCTTGGCCGTCGTGTGAGCCTTAAACTCCAGCCTGGACTGGGGGCCACCGTTCACTCCGCTCGGCCGGTCCTCGCACTCCGTTCTGGAGACGTTCTAGCTGTCTGCCCTTTGCAACTTGACCCTCTCGCAGGGCCTCGCGAGCCCCCGGTCTACCTGACATGGGGTGCGGCCCATGCTGCCTCGGCCTGGCACTCTGATTTTGTGGTGGCCCAAGCCTCCTGTGTGTTACTGTGGTCCCCTAGCCGCTCCGCTAGGGTCGTGTTGCTGGGCCATCAGGCCAAATGGGACGCAGCGGCAGCCACGGTTCTGCATCATGAGGTGGAGCTTGGCCATCACCGCTGGGCCCCCTGCCATGGACACTTAGGTGCTCCTCCCCTGGCTCGTTGAGCAGTCTTCCTCTCCGGGGCATGCCAACATTATTCAGTCTAGTGGGGCCACAAGGTGTGTTGAGACCGCTCGGGACGCTGCGCATGATTTCTATTTTGCCGGGTACTCCCTTCGACCTGCTGCCAGCCGGGCTTGTCAGGTTGCTCAGACCAGGGACGGAGACTGGTGGGTTCTTTCTGCTGCCTTCGGTCTCCTGGGGAGGCGTCCTCTCCTCCCTGCCCAACTTGCCCTTATCTTCTTCGGGCTTCTTGAACCGGCGTGGGGAGCGTCCTCGAGTGCGCGCGGACTCTTCCGAGGCGCGTACCATCCGCACTCGGCGACGGCCCAGCAGAAGTCGCTCACCCTCCCATCCTTGGCCTGGGAGGTTCTTTCCCCCTGCCATTGATTTCAATGACGGGGAGCCTTATGTACCGCTAGGTGGTTGGCAGCCCGATAACCCCGATGGCCCCCTAGCACGCTGCTTCCCTGGTCCACGACCACTCACGGCTCGTGTTTTGTGCCCCCTGCGGGGATGGAGCGAGACCAGCTTCCTCGACACGACCAGATCATGGAGGTCTATCGAACAGGAAGGTACTCGCCACTGCGGGCTTTGGGCCCATCGCTTTTTCCCTGTCCGGGCGGTGCTCCCAATTTCCCAGATCACAGTCGCCCCGGTTGCTCCATACGGTCTCGCCACCGTGGACCTGCACATTGAGGGCTGTTCGGCCGTCGCCTTTGCCTCGGTTGACTCGTTTCTTGATGACATTCACCGGCTTGCTGTTCGCGTCTTTCCTCACACCCGGTTTTGGAGAGTCATAGCGCCACCTGTGCTGCGCACTACTATCCCGAATGTGCATATCAGGCTCCGCAACGGAGATGCTTTTAGCCTCCTTCCCGAGCCTTCCGACCCGGGTGCTACCCGTTATCCCTTGCTGCAGTATGCCTCCCTGGAACGGGCGCGGCAAGTTGCCAGCTGGTCGCTTCCCTTTCGATTTGACTCGGGCGGCTACGTCTGCCTGTGGTATACTGGCCGTCGATCTGGTCATAGCATCCGGATCAGGGATACCGGCTATTGGGATTTGAGGGTCCCACCTTGTGGAGTCTAAATGGCAGAGCGCTGTCAGGGTCATGGGTCCCTGTTCTCTCTGGGGATCTATCCAGTCTGCACCTGGTGCACAGCACCTCCACTGGTGAGGCCCATGTCCTCCTCTTAGTGCCCCCCGATCTGGAGCCTCAAGGGTTGTTGCTCGCTGGTTGCAATGCCTTCCGTGCACCGCCTGGGTGGCGCCTCCTCCCCGCTCTGCAGTACGTTCGGGCAGACAGCCCCCTCCGAGATGGGGATGTTCTTGTGCTGGACCCGACTGCTGATACGGTTTGGGACACTACCGGACGTTGGGGGCCCTCGCCTTCTGTTGCTGCGGCCATTTATGGCCGCTGGGCCTGGCTCGCTGTTCTTGCCGTCAGATGGCCCCGGCTTCTCGCCCTTGCTTGCTTGGTTGGTGCCGGACAGGGCATGGTTCCCGCTCCAGATTTGCCGGAGCAGCCCATACGTGTGGGTTTCTTCCCGTGGCGGGCCCCAGCCGCTGAGGCCGATCTGGTTGATCTCACCAACCGCACAGAGATTGATATTGTCCTCCTTAGTCCCTTCACAGGTCCCCAGGAGGCTGGGCGACTGCCCACTGCCTCGACTACTAGAGAGCTCAATGCTCTGACATGCTCCTGCGACCCAAATTGGGGTGCTGAAGTTGCACCTGTGTGGCCGACAGCTGCCATACCGGCCCTACTGGTTGTTCCCCGCCCCCCGACACCTGACCTTGTCTGCTTAGCGGTCTCCTCCTTAGATCGGCACTTCTCCATCCTAGTGCCTTGCACTACTTCTGTGTCCTGGCTGAGCGCGGCTCTCCGCTTCTTACAGCCCATGCAAACTCTCTCTGTTCGAGCACCCAGTTCTCTCACAGCCGATGCCACATCTGACCAAGAAGTGCGCTGGCGCTCTGGAGACCTGGTTGTCGCACTCCCTCCTGCAGCTTTTGTGCCCGAATACCAACCCCCGTGCTTTCACTCCGACGCTCAAGTGCGGCATTGTGCCATCTGGGCTGTTGACTTTTCGGTCTCCACACGCGTCAGCTTCATACTCTGGCGGCCCGCTGTTCGAGCCATCCGGGGACACGCGCCGGCAGGCAGCCGCTGGCGCGCTCTTGACTATACTTTTGACGGTGACTTTAGCCTCCATTATCCTGGGCGTTGGGTTCCGGTTCCCTGGATCGCCCAGGATCATGCCCACTTGGTTTTGCTGCCGGAGGATCCCTCGAGGGTCAATGTCATTGTGGAAGCAGACGGCCATTGCTGGTGTGCCCTTGTCACAGCCGTTACCGATGCCTGGCAACTCTGGACTGAGCTCCCATCTATCTCCTCTCAGCCACGTGTCCTTGGTGTTCCACACCAGGAACTGCGCCAAGGGACGACCCTTCGCAGCGGCGATGTTGTTTCCGGCTGTCCAGGGCTCCTCCCTCTGTGTTGGCTCACCTGCTCTCTGGGGCTTGCGGCTTGGTGGGCACTCGGCTTTGCCTCCTCGGCCCCGGGCTACCTTCTCCTGCTTGCTTGGCTGATCGCTCTCCCTCCGGTGTCGGGTGCGCGTCTTCCCCATGAGGGCGGCAGCCGACAGTGGTCTCTGGCAGCGTCAAGCTGTGATCAGCTGCCGAACCGCCTGGCTTTCGCCACCGCCTCTGGGACCCTGCTAGGGGCCTCCTTGGACCTTTCCGGGGCCATCTTTGTTTGCCCCACCTGCTCTACAGGAGGCCGCACCAGCTTGGTCCGATTTCACCAGGCTTCGTCCACCTCAGGACCACCGGTTCATTGACTGGGTCCCGGTACCTTCGGCTCCACTGTTTGCCACTGTTCTGATCCAGTGCCCGCCTGCCACTAGGGCTGCACTTCTGCCCGCTACCTGTGCTGTGGCTGATCTTGCACGAGCCAGCAGACGCTCTATTCCTGACCTGTCATACGTCTTGGCTCCCCCAGAGGCTTGGTGCGGTACTGCTACGACCTGTAACCCCACCTTATTCCTCCGGTCTGGTGATGTCCTGACTCTGGCCAGCGCCACGTGGGCCCCGCGCCTCCGCCGCCCGTCGGGCGGTTCTGGGAAACTCTTCTCCAGGCTCGTCAGCTGGCCTTTTGGGGCAGCCCCTTTCGCATAAGGCAGCCTGGACTTCTCTTTGCATGGACCCCGAGAGATCCAGTCCCGCTTACTGTCCCCACCACCAGTGATGAACAGTGGGATCCTGAACATTACACTTTCCGCCCATCTCTGGTCCGGTTTAGTGTTGGCCGCTGGATTCCAGCAGCCCGTGTTGACGACCTTGGGCTTCATCTTGTCCCAGAAAGCCCTAATCTGCGTTGGGCCCATGTCTTGTCTGCCCAACCCCCCCTAAGCGTTCGCGTGGTGCCTCGCCATGGCGCGGATGGACTCCTGCGGGATGGTGACAGCGGCTCCCCTCTGGGCAGCGCTCCCTCCCGCACTTTGCTTCCGTTGCTTGCCAGCCTGGTCGTTCGCGGGCGCCTGGGTCGGCACTGGTTCTTTCTTCTCAGTGCTTGGGTTCTTCTGACTGGGCTGCCCGAGCTGTTTCCGGGTAAGATGGCCGTTGGTTTCCCGCCGGTCCCCCTTGATGTCCTTGCTCGGACCCCAGGTCCATCGCCCAATGGAGTGGATTTCGGGTTGCTCTCCCGCACCAGTTGCTATCTTCGTGCATGGGGGGCGCCAGATTGGCACAGCCCGGATGGAATCTCCTGGGCGGCAGATATCCATCATGAGTGCGCCGCTCAAGCCTCCTTGCACCAGCTGTGGTGGGCGCACGACCTATTCCCGAATCTCCCGGCATCCGCTCCAGCGCCTTATCGCCAGGCTTTCTCTAGCTTCCCACTATGGTCTGGCGGTGTACCCGATCAGGTTCTCATCGCCACTGATGGGAGCGGTGAGCGGGGCGGAGCCTGGGCCTTCTGCGTATGGGTTTGGTGGCGTCACACGTGGTACCGGGTTGGTTGGTTCGGCGCCGCGGGGGCCGATACCCCTTGGATCTCTGGCACTGCGGCCCCCGGGAGTGGTGTTTCCTTTCAAGCTGAGCTCTGGGCCCTGCAAGCCGCGGGCCTCTGGCTCCTCGCTTGGGCCGACCGCCTCTCCCTTCTGACGTCGGCAGCGCCTGCCAAGGTCACCATTGCGGTTGACAATGCCTCTGCGCTCCAGATCGCGGCTGGGCAAGCGCAGGCCAGTGAGCCAGTCACCACCCTTACTCGCTATATCTGGCAAGCTGTCCAGTCCCGAATGTCCACTCGCTTTCAACACGTGCACAGTCATCTCGGCATTCTCCCTAATACGATCGCCGACTTTCTCGCCGGCCGCACTTTGTGGCATCCCTGGAAACATGTCGATGCTGCCCTCCCTGCTCTGTTGCAGGAAGCGGCGCCTTGGCTCTGGCTCATTCCACATGCCAAGGTGATCCAAGGCAGACCCTGTGTTCGCCTCACCGCACAGTCACTCCCCCATGCGCCAGCCGGTCGAGGGTCCGAGGTCCAGTGCCCTCCCACCGAGGTGCCCTGTGCTGCTCCGTCGCTAGAGCCCCAGCGACCGTTGTCGCTAGGACCCTCGCTATCCCTTCGCATTGTTACTGTTCAAACCATGCGAGATTCTTGTGCCTCCTTCTTTAACCCGTCGGGTCACGGCCAGAGGCGTCAATACTTGTACTCTCAAGTCGCCCAACTGGGCCTCGATGTGGTCTGCCTTCAGGAGACACGCAGCAAAGGAGGCCGATGGGACACAGCCGGCCTCCTCACCTGGCGCTCCGGTGCCCAAAAAGGTAGCTACGGTTGCGAAATTTGGGTTAGGCCCCAGCTAGTTAACCCCCCCCTCCGCCTGGATGACTGGCGGATTGCCTGTGCGGACCCAAGACTTTTAGTCATAGTCTGTAAAAGGGCGGACCTCCCTTTGGCCGTTGTCGCGGCGCATGCTCCACACGCCGACAGACCAGTGCCCGAAATCCATCACTTTTGGTCCTCACTGCAATCTCAGCTGTGCCAGCTCCCACGGGCCCTCACTTTGGTCCTGGGTCTCGATGCTAACGCTGATCTTCTTTGGGCCGATGACGACCATGCATATATAGGAGATGCTCTTGGTCATGGCGAGGAAGGAGCGGGCGAGCAAGGCCTTTTCGATACCATCCAGCGTTTTGGCCTCCTTGCCCCTGCCTCCTTCTCGGACCTTCAAGAAGGCCCGGGCTGGTCCTGGGAGCATACTGGTGGCACCCGCAAGCGTCTGGATCATATCTTGCTCCAGGCTGGCCCCTGGTCCTGCCGTCGCACCCGACAGCTTCCTGAGCTGGACATTCTCAATGGTCGTCGGGATCATATGCCGCTTCTGGTCGAGTGCGACCTCCGGGGACAGGCCACCCGGCTCAAGGCGCCGGCCCCACCCCGCGCCACTGTGCACCAGGCTCGAGCCATCGCTGCCGATCTCTGGGGAGCTCTGCCGCCCACCCTCAGGCACATTGACAGCGTGGGTGCCGAAGTGCAGGCTCTTAAAACCCAGCACTCCTGCTTGCTTCGGGCCCTTCCTCGCCCTCCACGCCGCCCCATCCGCCAGCCCTACATCACAGCGGCCTCTGTCACCGCACTCGATCGAGTTCGGCAGGCGCGAGAACAGCTCCCCCGGCTGCGAACCAATTTAGAGTGGCAGCAGCGCCGCTTTCTCTTGCAAGTTTGGCGACTGGGTTGCACACACCGACACCCCGATGCTGCACCCTTGCGCCCTGATCCGACTGGCCTGCAGCATGCCCGCCTTCTTCTCCAGGCTTGTAATCTCCATGTACGGGGTCTTCAGCAGAAGGCCCACTATCTGGCGAGGTCCGACAAGCTGGCTCATTTCCGCACACTTACTCTGGAGGCGACCAAACACTGGGAAGCCACCGGAGTCCCTTTGGAATCCATCCGGCATCTCCGCTGGGCCTCACGCAAGGCACACGAGCGTCGGTCTGTTCACGCCGCCGGTGGATTCGACATTGATAGCGAGTTGGAGGCCCAGTTCCGCGACCAGGAGGGGGCCAGTCTAGTTAGCCCAGTGCAGCTCTCCAGCGCCGCTGAGCGATGGATGAATGGACCGCGCCTCCCGTGTGCCGAGGCGGTTCCCACCCTCTTACAGATGGAACAAATGTGTGTCCGACAGGCGGCCGCCAAGGCCCCAAGACCAGACGGTCTGAGGAACGAGCTGTGGCGGACGCAGGGAGCCTCAGCAGGGCAGTGGCTCTGGCCCCTGTGCGTGCGCATCGCTCTCCAAGGAAGGGAGCCTTTTGACTTTAAGGCGGCCATTGTATGCGCCCTTTACAAGAAGGGCCCAGCCTCTCTTCCTGCTAATTACCGCTCTATCGCGCTACTGAACGGCATCGCGAAGCTATGGCATTCGCACCTGCGCTCCACTGTGGGAGGCCACGTCTTGTCGCGATACGAGCCTATGCAGCTTGGGGGCCGCAAGGGTGTCCACACAGGATTTGCGTTGGCTGCCTTCCGTTGTGCCTGGGACCTTTCCATCTCAGCTGGCCGATGTGTTGCCGTGGTCTTCGTCGATATCCAGGCCGCGTACTATGAGGCAAGCCGGGATCTCCTCTTTGAAGGCTTCCCTGATGACGCTGCCCTGCCAGAGCACCACCACCTTGCTGGGCTGGTTCTCAGTCTTCAACAGCAAGGGGCCCTTGCTGCCTTGGGTGTTGCGGAGGACGTTGTTGCACTCCTCCGCGACTGTGTCGCCCTCTCCCACTGGTCACTCTCTGGCTCTTCCAACATTTTCCTTGCGTCACGGGGGTCTCGTCCAGGTGACGGCCTCGCTGACATCCTTTTTGGAGCCCTTTTCGCTGTTGGTCTTCAGCATATCCAGCGCGCTGCCACCCGTCAGGGCATTGTGCACACCAGCGCCGGCGCTGAAGTGGGCCTCTCCCCAGGGGTCAAGCCCATCGGTTGGGCTGACGACCTTGCGGTTATGGCCGATTTTGACCGACCAGCTGATCTTCTTGTTCAACTGCCCGCGCTGGTCGGCATTATCCTTGACACTCTCCGACTCCTCCGATTTCGTGTTAATTTGGGTGCGGGTAAAACTGAGGCCCTTGTTGACATCCGGGGGGAGGGTGCTCGAGCGGCCCGCGGAGCTCTCCTCACTGGTGATGCCATGTTAAAGATCTCTGATTCTGACAGCATCAAGTTGTGTCCCGAGTATAAGTATCTGGGTGTGGCTCAGCTGCCTCGGGATACGGGCCGCCGCGACTGCGAGCTTGCTGCCCAACGAGGCGCCGCTGCGGCCTCCCTTGCTCGCACTCTCCTCTGCAGCAACTGTTTGCCCTGGGAACTCAAACGGGCCTGGGTCGCGGGACGAGTCCTGCCCTCCGCGTATTCCTCCCTTGCTATGTCTCTGGCTGACTCCGGCCGTGCCACGGCCCCTCTTGCAGGCCTTTTTGAACGCACGGCCAGGATCCTGTTGTCCTCATGGCAGGTTGGGCACAAGCTCACCACCCCACTGCTCCGGCTCCTCGCTGACATTACTCCTCCTGACCTGGCTACCACCATCAGTCAGTGTCGCCTGTGCGTCCAGCTTTTCTGCAAGGCACCCACGGCGGTGCGTGACATCGTCGACGCGGCGTGGAACAGGGCCCTCCCTTGGTGCCAGGCCCTCGTCGCGGCATGTATGAGGGTTGGCGTTGCGCTTGAGGCTTGGGATCCTAATTCCCCCCCCGCCATCACAGCTCTGTTCGTCCAAGACCACAGCCGTGCTCTTCTTCGTGCCTGCAAGGCACTCAGCAAGTTTGGACATCGGTACATTGCCTGTGCTCAGCTTTGGGAAGACCTTTCTACCCGTAGGGTCACCCAAATTTTAGGTCCCCCCCAGGCCCATCGATGCCCTGTGTGCAGCATCATCTTCCCGAGCCTGCACGCGGTCCGAGCCCACCTGCATCGCAAACATGGTGTGCTGTCCGACGTGACGGCTTACATGGCCGGCTCTGTCAAATACCATCTGCAATCCCACCGGGCCTGCTTGCATGGACTGCGGGTGACGGTGGGGCCTGTCTACCAACATGGGTCGGGCACTAAACGCAAGGGTAGAACGGCCCACAGGGGTGTTCCCCCACAACGCCTATGCGGGCCCTGCAATGCCACCCCAGCACAGCGCCGGGCCGCGGATTTGGGTCTGCCTGCTGATGAGGAGGAGCTGCAACAGGAGTGGGATGCGGTGCAGCGTTCGCCGGCCCTCTCCGACCTCGTCCCCGGCAACTTGCAACGGGCCGCTGCGGGGTCCTCCCTCGCTGCTCCAACCCCTGCCGAACTTGGGTTTCCCCTCGCTACGGCCCCAGTCTTGGAGCCCTCCCTGTCCTGCATTGCCCCACCTTTGCCATCTGTGGGCCCTCTGCCCCCTTGGTTCTCCTTCGTTGATGGGGCTGCCTCAGGCCAGGATTGGGCTCTGCCTACGCCCTGGTGGCCCGGGCTTCTTGCCAAGGGTGGGGTCTTTCGGCTTCCCCCATCGTGGCATTGCTTCTGGCCCTTGTGGTCGGCCTTGGAGCTCCTTGCTCCTTGGGAGTTCCGGGCCTTCCGGTCGCTAGGCGTCCTCCGTCGCGCCTCGTCTTCCGGGCTTGGTGCTCCTGTGTCTCTCTGTGATGCGACTTCCGGCAGCTGGTCTCTGTTGGGGATTGCTGCCGCCTTGATCTCCTTCCGTATGACCTGTAAGGTCGTTTTACGGATTGGCGCCCTTTGGATTCCCGGGCGCCCCAGTCAACAGGGCCTTGTCCTCTTGCGGCGGTTGCTTCCTTCTGCCGTCTTCCTGGACTTCTGGTCCCCTGCTGGTCCTGTGTTTCTGGCTGCGAGCTCTGCTTCCTTGGCCTCGTCTGCTCGCGCCGTCATCGCCGGCTCTGCTCTTTCGGCCCCGTCCTCGCTCTCCGTGCGGGCTTTCTGGGCCTATCCGGCGGCTTGAGGCCTTTCGTTTTTGTACAGGCTCCCGTTTTCTCTAGTTTCTGGCCGCAGTGCTACAGCAGCACTGCTTTTCGGCCCTTGCATGACTTGGATAGCACAGGACCTTCCTCTGGCGCGTGAGTGAGTGAGTGAGCTCAGGGCTTAGGGTTCAGGATTTAGGGCTTAGGGTTTAGAGTGTAGTGGGTGTTTTCGGCTTAGTCTTGAAGGTTCGGGCTTAGCGTCTAAGGTTTAGAGCCTTGGACCGTGGGTTCAAAGTCTTCAGGTCCACTTTGGCCCACTGATCTCGCAGGTTCCTCGTCATAGTGACATATTCATGCTGGCACATGTTCGGGATCAGGGCTTTGGGGTTTGGGGGGTACTTTGTCCTCAACCAGCGGATTGAAGCTTCAGGACAGCGATCCGGTCAGACTGCGTGAGTCAACCACCGCGCTCCCTGCTTGTTGAGTGGAGGATGAACACACAAAGATCGGTTTAGGGTTTTGGGCTTCGGGAGTCTAGGGTTTCATCTAGTATTCAAATACCTGCCGACCTAGCTGCATGCAGCCATCTATGTGTCTCAATGTGGACAGGTCTGCACATAGATAGACATCTTCGTTATTCTTGTTATTCTTGCCGTGACATTCGCCAAAGGCATCCGTTCTGCCAGTTCAGCTTCACTGAACGTAGTGAGCTATATACAATACAGTGCAACACCTCAAAACCCAAGAACCCTAAAACCTAAACCCCAAACCTAGAAGCTTGGATCACGCTGCAACCTTGCAGGATCCTGAAAACTCCCCGAGGTTTCCCCTGAACCTCGTAAGATCTCATCACCTCCGACCCCGATTACTAAGGAACCCTCAGAAATGGTGCTCTGATATTCTTCTAGGCTGCTATAAAATGCCTGAGACCCCAAACCGCAGGCTTCTGGTAGGGTTCATGTAGCTCGACATGCATGGGTTCGTGCAATCAGGACTACATGTCGGCATAACAGTAGTTGCAAAAGGACGTTGACCTTGTTTGTAGTGGCGATATGCTTGACCTTGCAAAGGTTCGTGTGGTGACATGGTTTGTTGCGCTGAGACGAGACTCTGCCCATTGCCGCAAGAGCGCTGCCCGTATGAACTGGTTCAAACTGTTGTAATCAGACTGCCCTGCTCCTATCTAGATGTCACATAAGTACGCATGGAAACTCATCTAGAGCGAGTCGTCACAGTCAGGAAGACATTCAAAGTACATGACACCAACGATTCAAGTTCACAATTCTTGCATAGAGACCGAGAACTTTGGATGTTCTCGAACTTCTGACTTCTGAAAAGCTAACCGCCCGTTGAGCTCCTGCCTCAATTCGCCAGACGCGTCGGATCTCGACGCATCGGTGAGAGCAGTAGCACCTTTGCAGCATAACAGACGATCGTGTGCGGTAGCATGATGCGATGACAATGACAATATCCTCAACAGCTGGTGACCCAGCTGAACCCTAACCCTGCACAAGCACCTAGCCCTACAGCCCTAACCATTCACTGACGAAACTCAACAAGACCAAGCAGCAGCTCTCGGCAAACTCCGACAACTCTGCAGTATCTGCACAGTTGGAAGGGTCTACACCCGCCCTTAAATCCACATTAAAAATACAATTGTTCATATTTTCTTGGGCTTTATATGAACAAATAAGCCCTAAACCAAAACCCTAAACCCCAATCTCAAAAAGAGCAAGTCCTAAGGAAACTATAGGGCTTGGGATCTGACAACGGAAGATTCCGCTGGTCTCGAGATGGGCGAGCTTCCGCATGCTTAGCTTATGGTTCAGGGTTTAGGGGTTTAGGGGTTTAGGGGTTTAGCGTTTAGGGGTTTAGGGTTTAGGGTATTCAGACAGGGTCAACGTCGAGATTTATCACAGTCTACGACTAGAGATGCAACTTTGTATCTTGTTACAGCCCTATGTTTCTTATCGCGGTGCATACTTATTCTTAACTGCCTAGTGGGTAGATGACCCTCACTTTCAGATGAAATTCTTGGGATAATATAGGGGCCTTAATAATTAGAAATCGGTTTTGGGGCATGTTACACTAAAACTCTAGCAAGGAACACCCCATAATAGTATTGGTAATTATTAAGGCCCCTACAGTTCTCACAGCTTTGGCAAGGCTTCTGAAATATGCGAAGCCCGAGCATGTCGGGACTAGAGGACCCTACACCCTGAACTTCCAATCCCTGTTTTCAGTGACTTGACAGGTGCCGGCGACATTTCTGTGAAAGCACTTTCGTTCTCTAGAGGCATCGCAGGCTGTGAGACAGGTCGCGAATGTTGCCAGCAAAAATGGGCAACCGACCTGGGCTTGGCGGGCTGCATCTGGAGGTCAAGCTGAAAAAGATGCGCATATGTATGCCAACATGTACGTACATGCGTTTAAATAGCTTTGCATACACGTATCCATGGGTGTATGGGTATGCATGGGCAAAAATGAACGAAACTTTGTAGGTTTGAAGCTTCTGCGTGCTTGAGCGTGTACGTATGCACGAATGTACGTATGTATGCATGTATGTGCTTGTATAAACACACACACAGATAAGCAAAACCCGCACACATCAATACATGAATAAGGACATGCATATAAATGCACATTTCAAAACACAAACTAGATTACTACAAGGATACATCATAACAAGAAATATGCATGCATCTTTTTTCAATATACCAGGCACCGCTCTGAAGATTCATACATACAATAGGGCACTCATGAGTGTGGATATGAGAGTACGGTCTCTTATACATTGACAATCTATGTGTACATATACATATATATATATATATGCACACACACACACACTTTTCGTCCGTGTGCAGTTCTTGCTTTCTGACTCATAAGTGCTAATGTCAACACGCACCATAACCTGGTTGGTGGAGCCATGCCTTCACTGCATTTCCCCATACATTGATGACGGTTGGCTCGAAGTTAGTTAGCAATTGCAGAGGTGTCGGCGGCAACGTCTGTGCCATGCTGATAGGGCCATTTACGATGGAGAGCCTGTGTTGTTAATCGATAAAATTACCAAGTCGTGCACCTATGGATGTATAGGCTTTGCCAATTTCGCACTGTGGCCTTGGTTCCGCTCTGGTACGAATACTTTTTGTCACTGTTTCAAGCATCCAAGCCACGATTCGGTCAAAGACCACTGCTCCTGGTCAGAAGTCCTGCAGTTCGGCAGCGCAGCTGTCGCCGATGTCGAGAGCTTCCCAGTGCATTGATGAACTGAATTTGGTGCCACCCTCAATCCAGCTTCGTCGAAAGTCTGCGGTTCACTGCTTGTCTTCCTTGAGCGAATCCGGGCAGCCCAGATTGGAGGAATGTTCATCTCCCATCAGCCGATCATCTCTGAGACCCGTGGCTCGTCTTGCGCCGTTACGGCAGAAGCCAAATCGGGGCAGCCTCCAGAAGCCCGGGAGCCAGTGTTGTCTGCGACGCTTGCTCGCATGCGGCCAGAACGAACTGGTACGTCAGCACGCTCCTGATTACTCAAAGAAACTATGAACGGCAAGGGTAGAGGCTAGAGATGTGCGAATCCTTGCACAGATGCCATGAGAACGCATGCGATTTCTCTTAAGACTCAAACCCTTCGTCAGCACCTGTTGACACGTGCGTGTTGTGCTTGGTAAACAAAATTAAACAAACAGAAGTAGACAACATCATCAGTTGACATAAACCTGATCTGGTGGAATGCACTCATATGCATGCATGCAGCAGGTAGACAAGCAGGCAGGCAGGCAAACAGACAGACCGGCTGTTCTGCTTGTCGGCAGCCCTCAGTAGTCGCCAAATCCGGGCTGACGCACACAAGACATACGCCACAAAAGCAAACGGCCTTTAGCCCAAGCATCGGCAGCAGCTCGGCCTGGTAGAGCTCTGCCAACAGATGGACGGCTTGCTCCCATTCGTAGCAGCTTGCACAAGCAGCAATCGCGGAATTCCAAGCAACGGTGTCCTGGCAATCAAGTGCAAACTCGAAGCGCAAACTACAGAAACTACAAACTAGACCTGCCTCAACCTTACGAGTAGAAACTATAACCTTTGAGTTGGGTCAGTTACCACGGCACCGGCACAACGACATTCCCGTTCGACATCAAGCATGCGTCGTCTGGCCAGCTCGTATGCGTACAGGCTCTCTCCCTGTCTCTCGGCACGCGCGCGCGCGGTGTGTGTGTGTGTGTGTGTGTGTGTGTGTGTGTGTGTGTGTGTGTGTGTGTGTGTGTGTGTGTGTGTGTGTGTGTGTGTGTGTGTCTCGCTCTCTCTCTACCTCCCTCCAGCACTGCGACAGTCTCCGGTATCGTGCTCTCTCCTGAGCAGCAACTGCATGAGATTGGCGGTGAGCCCTCGCCTCAAGACACCCAACCTCAACGCTTCAAGACCTTTACTGTCCCAAAGGATCCAAGTATCATTATGGTCTATACTTAGAGCCCGAAAATACCCTATAAGTATATACCATGGTGATACTTGGACCCTTTGGGTATAGTGCCCTGAGAATGTGAAACGCATCTCTCACCGCTTGCCATTCGAACGAAGAAGTAATTAGGTCCAAGGATCAAGCTGCGTGCACGGTGCTGTGCCCTTGAGTAGGCGCAGTGCTAAAGGCCACTTCCTCCAAAGGGCGAAAGGAGGGACCCTTAGTGGGGATCCCTCCCCTATAACGGGCTTTTCTTCATGGGTACATAATAGCTACATTAATGTTACATACCTAGAGGTCCTGTTTAAGGGTCCCTCCTCTTATCCTTGGATCCTCCCAAAATTGGATCTCCAAAACTCTGAAGCTTCGGAGTGTCGGGGTCAGCGGTTAAGGGATGGGGCGCGGGGTTTTCTCGAAGTAGATTCCGAAACCAGACACGAGCGCACCAGGCAGCCAGAGCCTAAGACTAGTAGTAGACACTCCGCGTCTTCGATGTGCTTCTCGTTTTATCTTCGTCAGATCTAAAAGCCGGAGACCAGCAAGGTAATCCGGCGCTGTCCAACAGCCAATTTCACCCGGAACCGCTTTGATAATTCACGCCTTCCTTGCTCACAAGCTGTGAGCAAGGCGCTGCAGCTGACGACAGAGGTGTCGATCAACTCGGAGGTATCTCCATAGAGGCTCAGCCTTGGGATGCAACAATCCCCAACTAACTCTAAACCCTCAATCCTCAACCCTAAAACACCGTTTTGGAGAAGAGCCCTTGCTTCCCAGCTTCAGCACGAGAAAGCCGAGAATGCCGTTCCCACTCGAAAGAACAGGCGATTTGCGATTGGGACTCCTGGCTGTACGTCTTCCAGTTTTGCTTTTTGGGCCTATTGGCAGAAAGAAGAGAAACAACTGCCCGAACAAAAACATGCAATCCGGCAAAAAAACCGTCGACAAAGCCGGAGGTTCGTGCGTCAGAAAAGGAGCTACGCGCAAGCACGGCAGCTACGTAGCGTTCTTCTCTGGACACCGACCCTCGCAATCATGAAGTCGCTTGATCGCAGCTTGTTTCTGACAACCGCTTGGCAAACCAGATGCGGCCGAGCAGCGCAAGTTGCCACTTCACTCCGTTTCCTGAGCCAGTTCCGGCTTGGCTCTTACGTGGCTATGTGAAATAGTTTCGTGAAATCCTTGACAAGTGCGAAAGGACGTAGGTCGAAATTCATGTAAGGCTCTCTGCTAGGGCCTGGGGAGCCTGTGCATTAAAGGTGTGCCAGTGTAGGTCTGCGGAGCTCACCTTCTCAAATTCACTCAGCCGTCAATTTGAACTCAACCCAGAAGCCCGAAGCCTGAATCGCTCCAAAGCTGAATTCAGCTAGGCTCCGCAAGCACTGGTGCAGGCTGCGATGGAGAAGACATCAGGTCGGAGGTGTCGGTACGACAGAGATGTGAAAAGATCCTTCGGGTTTTGTGTTCGGGCTTTTTTGAACCCGAAAGAGAGGGGGCTAATCATGAGTCGCAGAACCACTTCCACTTGCGGCATCCGTTTTGCAATCGGGCGGATGCATCTCCTGCACATCTACCAGAGCACATCAATGCTCCAAAATAGGGGAGACACCAAGCCACACATGTTATTATACCATGCTCGAATCATGAAACGGGCGCTTCAGCAGAAGCTGTGCAATGCCCAAACCCTAAACGCTAAACCCCTTGCCGTAAACCTTAAGCCCTAACAGGAAAGTCTGGCTTCGACCTGCAACTTGTGCTCCTGGTGAAGGAAACGCCTTGTCTTTTTGGATGGCTGGGAAAGCAGTGTCCAACACTGTGATTGTTATGATGCTCATTACTAGATCTATTTGTACTACGTTGATTGTTATTCCTGATTACTATTACTATGAATATTTTTGCTTGTTGTGTCGGAGATTAGCAATCGTAGTGGTCGTCGTCTCCGTAATAGTACTAGTAAAGTTAGCAGGAGCAGTCGTCGTCGTAGTAGTTGCTGTAGTAGTCGTAGTAGCAGTAGCAGTAGCAGTAGCAGTAGCAGTAGCAGTAGCAGCAGCAGCAGCAGTAGCAGTAGCAGTAGCAGTAGCAGTAGCAGTAGCAGTAGCAGTGGCAGTGGCAGTGGGTATAGCAGTAGCAGTAGCAGTAGCCGTAGCAGTAGCAGTAGGAAATAGGAGTAGGAGTAGGAGTAGTAGCAGTAGCAGTAGCAGTAGCAGTAGCAGTAGCAGTAGCAGTAGGAGTAGGAGTAGGAGCAGGAGCAGGAGCAGGAGTAGGAGTAGGAGCAGGAGCAGGAGCAGGAGCAGGAGCAGGAGCAGGAGCAGGAGCAGTAGGAGTAGCAGTAGCAGTAGCAGTAGCAGTAGCAGTAGCAGTAGCAGTAGCAGTAGCAGTAGGAGTAGGAGTAGGAGTAGGAGTAGGAGTAGGAGTAGGAGTAGGAGTAGGAGTAGGAGTAGTAGTAGTAGTAGTAGTAGTAGTAGGAGTAAGAGTAGTAGGAGTAGTAGGAGTAGGAGTAGTAGTAGTAGTAGTAGTAGTAGTAGTAGTAGTCGATAACTTCGAGATTGTGGCCTCCACCTTCAAATGCATCTATGACCAGTCTTCCAGAAAGAGTGGAGGCCAAAATCGCGCCATCTTCTACCAGCCCCGAGACGGACAAATTGTCCGCAAGCTTCGTATCGAGCATAACAAGGGCGACACGGCCACCTATCAATGGCATCGTCAGCGCGAGCTAGGCGAGCAGCGCGAACAGCGTGACAAGCGCTCTGGTGAAGAGACGCAGTATCACACAGACAAGCGCCACAGGGACGGCGACGCCTGGACTCGAGGAGGTTGGTGGAATCGTGGCTCGGACTCCGGTGCCAGTGGCAGCCGCTCCTGGCATCAGTGAGTCCCCCTACAACCAATGGTGCCAATGGCAAACTACGCAGTAAGTCGCGGAGGCCATGCCTGTTTTTTCTTTTGCGTCTCTTCCGGAACGGACTGATGGCCTTTCTGCAGGATGCCGCCGCTGTCAGTCGGAAAACAAGCCCTAGCCTGCTGCCGGTCGCGCTACTGCTGCTCTGCTATCAGCAATGCGAAATCCGTTTTCAATGTTCAGGTACATACGACAATCTGGATACCTTGCAGCCTGCAAACTCGCTTTGGCTGATTACTGCCAGTTAGCTCAAAGCCTGTAGGCCGCCACCACTCAAAGGTCTTTTGACCTGGGCTGATCAGCTATCGGGTCTGAGTCAGTTTCACACCATGTGAGTGCACCGCGGCAATCGCCCGCTATGTGCTGAGCCCGCTCGCACAGCCTTCAATAAAATAGTAGTAGTAGTAGTAGTAGTAGTAGTAGTAGTAGTAGTAGTAGTAGTAGTAGTAGTAGTAGTAGTAGTAGGTAGTGGTAGTATTGGCAGTGGTAGTGGTAGTAGTAGTAGCAGCAGCAGCAGCAGTAGCAGTAAAAACCCAAACAAATAAGAGCAATAGTGATACTGATACGAATAGTACTACCACCCCCTCATTCTGATCCTGATACGATCAATATTAATAACAAGCGAAATCAGAATCTGTCTCGAGGCACTGCTGTACCAGCTGCTTGCTAACACAAACTCGTGAAACTTCTAAGCCAGGACTGTGCATCTGCATTCCTGGGAAAACCGTCTCAGGAGCTGATATTTCGGATAGTCGGATCTACGATGCCGGGGTGGTACGGTATGAGGGAATCGGGTAGAAGCGTGTTTTAGGGTATACCGTGACTGGCTATGGCGACCATGGCGGCTATGGCTTCAAGAGACTTCAAAGAGTTTGGATGCTCCAGCCCGCTGTAACACCTAATCTTAAGCTGAGAGCTTGGGCTTTGCGGTATGCATTCAACTCCGTACCACAAACGCGAGCATCAGGTACGGGGGTTGGGGGCCTTAATGCCCATAAATCAGGATCTAGTAAGGCCTATTTAAGGAAGTAGAGTCTCCTGCCCCGCTCCCGCCCACCTCCCTAAGGGTCCCTATGACATCATCAACCCACAGCAAGTCGTCATCCGATTCTCTGCATGCGCTTGCTGTTCAATCCGGCTGCTCGAATCTGTAAAGCACAGGCGTCTGTGGGATGCAGTGTGACCTACGGCCTTAGGGTTGAAGGCCACTGAGCAGGTCTATGTCTGACTTTGACTGGAGATCAGATACCGGCGCCTGTGGAAAACCCGGTGCAATGTCTCGCTGTACAATCGCTGAAGTTTTGCATTGACATGCCCAGACTGAGCGGCATAAGCATGCCGATCCTGTCAACACTGCGGACTTTCGGAGAAGAGCTTCTGGAACATCGTGACTCGTCTTGTTGCACTAAGGGCCGACAGACCTCCCTCACACGAGTCATCATGCGGACCTGGCATTTCCCTTGGTCTCCCAGGTGCCACAGGAGGTGCAGCCACATACGCCGACCACACTGCAATGCTCCCATCGACACTAAGCGCGAGATTTCTCTGAGGTCTCTCAGCTTCCTCGGTGATCGTAGCAAGAGGTTGCGGGCCTGCCCTCCTCCGGATCACTGAGAAACAAAATGATCTCGGGGGTCTCTTTGAAGTGCACTCAGCCCCTCCAAGTCCGGCGGTGCAGGCGCGGCCGGGCTGTGCATGCTGCTTGCGCATGGCTTGTGGACACCGGAACGGATGGACTGGATATGGATCGCTTTCTCCCCTGCTCCAGCCTGCGGCAAGGGCTCTGAGACGGGGGTTGTCACAACATATCTGCGAGCCGGTCTGGTACGCGGAGGTGGTGTCGACGGCTTCTGCGGCACGAGGGATGCCATAGAAGCTTGGAAGTTCTGCAAAACCTCTCGAGTCTCTCGAAGATCTCGCTCACTGGCAGAAGTCACAGAGCGGTGTGCCCCACACCGTGGTCTTGGGGGTCTTCTGTTGTATAGTTAGGAAGCCGGTGTAGGGGAATGATATTCGATGTTTCGACAACTCCGCATCTGCTCTTGCGTCTTGAGCCAGGGCTGTCGCACTGTTCGATGACAGCTTGCTCTTACCAGCTATACCAATCACCCGTCGCGGGCGCCAGGTCATGCTTTGCCGGCGACAATTATGACGACAGAGCAGCCGATGATTCTGATGACAAAGATGATGAGGATGGGAAGACGATGACTCGCAGCGGCTGTCGTAGTTTTTGTGGGAGCAGCAGCAGGAGGAGGAGGAGGAGCAGGAGCAGGAGCAGGAGGAGGAGGAGGTAGTAGTAGCAGTAGTAGTAGTAGTAGTAGTAGTAGTAGTAGTGGTAGTGGTAGTGGTAGTGGTAGTAGTAGTCATGACAGCAGGAGGAGGAGTAGCAGCAGCAGCAGGAGCACTAGCAGTAGCAGTAGAAGTAGCAGTAGCAGTAGCACAGTAGCAGTAGCAGTAGCAGTGGTATAGTGTTCCGTAAGAACCTGACTTTGCGCGCCGTTCGGTCCCATTAGTACTATTGTCATTAATGAAAATGGTGTTTCTTTGTGCAAATTGTCACTTCTTGCTTAGGCAGCCAAGGGTCTATGGAAAGCGCCCATGCTGCAACCTTCTCACCTTGGTAGGCACGAATTGCCAGTGTGAATCCGAATGCAGCAGCAGATTGACAAGGCACGAAAACTGCTGCAGTACTTTCCGGGCCGGTATCGAGTGAGCTGTGAAGTTGAGGTATGCGAGGATCCCGACAACAAGCGACTTTGGGAGAGCATGACTCAAAGCACAGTCCTCTCTGTGGCTACCATAGTAGTCTAATGGAAGACCCTATACTGATACCCTCCTCATCTCTTTATTTATGGATCTCCTCGTGTAAATACGTGCAAAACCTTGTCTCACCGAGAAGATGGCCCGAACCGCACAATGGATCTAGAGGCAAAGCAGCAAGATTGGAAACCTTGCCCTAAGGCTCAGAGTAGCGCAACCCTGAATAATAGTAAATAGTAGTGTCTTTGGGCCAAACCCTCACAATGAGACATGAGAACAAGTGCAGGGCCAAGATCTGAACCTCAAACTCCACATCCATAAGCTCTACACCGCCAAAGCACAAGCGCTGGTCACGGCATTGAAGGTGATGAGATCTGGCTCCAAGCGCCTGCTTCAAGTCTCGCGCCCGCATTCAAAGTTGGGTTGTACCCTAACCTCCTCAGTTCAGCTCTTAGGGCATATAAGGTTCAGGCTTTATAAGGTTCAGGGCTTGAGGGCAGGGTTTGGAGATCAAGCTCAGTATTCAATCCGATTGAAAGTTTGACGTTCAACAAGCTGCAGACGTAATCACGGAGAAGACGTAAGTGCGCGGATAGTTCTCTCGAGGAAGAACGAACTGACCTAAATTAAATCCTACGCCCCTAAAGCCTAACCCCTAAAACTCTAAAGCCTAAGTCCCGACACGCTTAATTAAAACTAAGCTTGAAGCTTCCCCTGCCAGACTTCAACCCCGCCATCCTCCAGTCACTACCTCCGCAAAACCTACATATGGGGTTTAGGGGTCCGAGGTTTGGGGCCTAAGGGCTATAGTAGCAGCCCAAGTCATGCATCTATTGAGCAAGCCTCAAAACAATCCCTAAACCCTAAACTTCCTAAACCCTACCTGTAGTCTCCCTTGTAGTTCCTTTTTCCGTCAACCAGCTTTATATTATAGCATCCTCGCCATAGAATTGGTTAACCAAAAAGGAACTACGAACGGAGACTCTAGGTAAACCCCATATCAATCCCTAAAACCTAAACATCCTAAACTTCCTCAACCCCAAACCCTAAACCTCATAAACCCTAAACCCTAAACTTCCTAAACTTCCTCAACCCCAAACCCTAAACTTCATAAACCCCAAACCCTAAACTTCCTAAACTTCCTCAACCCCAAACCCTAAACTTCATAAACCCCAAACCCTAAACTTCATAAACCCCAAACCCTAAACTTCCTAAACTTCCTCAACCCCAAACCCTAAACTTCATAAACCCCAAACCCTAAACTTCCTCAACCCCAAACCCTAAACTTCATAAACCCCAAACCCTAAACTTCCTAAACTTCCCCCAAACCCTAAACTTCCTCAACCCCAAACCCTAAACTTCATAAGCCCCAAACCCTAAACTTCCTAAACTTCCTCAACCCCAAACCCTAAACTTCATAAACCCCAAACCCTAAACTTCCTAAACTTCCTCAACCCCAAACCCTAAACTTCATAAACCCCAAACCCTAAACTTCCTAAACCCCAAACCCTAAACTTCCTAAACTTCCTCAACCCCAAACCCTAAACTTCATAAACCCCAAACCCTAAACTTCCTAAACCCCAAACCCTAAACTTCCTAAACTAACCCCAAACCCTAAACTTCCTCAACCCCAAACCCTAAACTTCATAAACCCCAAACCCTAAACTTCCTAAACTTCCTCAACCCCAAACCCTAAACTTCATAAACCCCAAACCCTAAACTTCCTCAACCCCAAACCCTAAACTTCATAAACCCAAACCCTAAACTTCCTAAACTTCCTCAACCCCAAACCCTAAACTTCATAAACCCCAAACCCTAAACTTCCTCAACCCCAAACCCTAAACTTCATAAACCCCAAACCCTAAACTTCCTAAACTTCCTCAACCCCAAACCCTAAACTTCATAAACCCCAAACCCTAAACTTCCTCAACCCCAAACCCTAAACTTCATAAACCCCAAACCCTAAACTTCCTAAACTTCCTCAACCCCAAACCCTAAACTTCATAAACCCCAAACCCTAAACTTCCTCAACCCCAAACCCTAAACTTCATAAGCCCCAAACCCTAAACTTCCTCAACCCCAAACCCTAAACTTCATAAACCCCAAACCCTAAACTTCCTCAACCCCAAACCCTAAACTTCATAAACCCCAAACCCTAAACTTCCTAAACTTCCTCAACCCCAAACCCTAAACTTCATAAACCCCAAACCCTAAACTTCCTAAACCCTAAACCCTATATAAAGGAACTGCAACGGAGACTCTAGGAAAACCCCAAATGCGGCAGCCGGGGAGTCCCTGAAGCCCCGAACACCAACTCTCACTTCCCGATGCCCCGACACCCGACCTCCCGAAAACCAGAAAGCCAGTTTTAAGGGTTCCTTTAAAGGGATCTCTAGGGATTCTATATGGGTATAGGGTTTAGGACCTACTTGGAGGTCAGGGGTAGTTCTAAGCAGGGTTTTTAAGTAGGGTAGCTATACTGATAACCCATATTGAGGGACTTATAACCCTACTTATAACTACCCCTGAACCTCCAAGTAGTCTTCTCCCCAAGGGTCCTAGGTACTGCTATGGGTCCCTTTAAGGGTACCTTTACGGGATCTATAGGGTTCCCTTTAAGGGTTCCTTTCAAGGATCTTTAAGAGTACTGTTAAGGAGAATACTTCCCCAAATCATTCCAAATATAGAAACCCTACATTCTACCATATAACAGGTAATTAAGACCCTTTGGGTCTATCATCCCATGGCCCACCAAAGTCCCTAAGCCCAAACCCCTAAAACCCTTATAGTATGCTTTTCATATAAGCCTTATAATGTAGGAGCCTTAGTAATCAGAATAGGGTTTTGGGGGGTTCCTTATTATAATTATGGTATAGTATACCCCAAAACCCCTATTCTAAATATTAAGAACCCTACAGTAGCATCCCGAAGCCTCCCCCAAGGCTCCTTGCGGGCATCCGGAAAGAACAGAGATCGAGAGCCGTCAGCCAGAGGCCAGCCTTCTCGCAAATGCCTGGGAGGGGCTTCAGGGGTGAAGGGCTTTGGGGGTCGAGAGAGCTTTACGGGATAAGGGCTATAAAGTATAGGGGTTTAGGGTCTAGAAGTTTTGGTGTCGTGGTATTTAAGGTTTAGTCTATTGCGGTGCAGGTCGAGATAGTCTTCTCTACGGAAAGGTGTGCACAACGCTTTTTTGGCAGACATTTTCTGCTGCATCAAATCGGAGGTCGCCCGGTCGGGCTCCTTGAGCTTACCCTGCTTCTATAAATAAAGCTTCTGGAACGCCTGGGCTTCAAGAGTCACGGCTTCTGCAAAGGTTTGAGGATTCAAACTTGGTGCATGCTGCAGGGAAGCGGTCGAAGGAATGCTCGTAGAAAGAACTTAAGGTTCCGGCCAAACTCCCTGCCCTGCCCTTGCGACGCAACAACTGAACCCGTAGCTTTTAAGCCTTGCGAAGTGTCAAATTCCTAAATTACCCTATGAACCCTAAACCCTATACCCTAAACCCTATACATCGCATACAAAGCCGTGTTCGACCAAGCCGCTGGATGCCGCGTTGAAGGCACCTGACGCGCAAAGGTCCGAAGCTTCCAGGATGCCATGGAAGTCTCCGAAAACAGGGGTGGTTTAGGGTTCCTTTAAAGGGTTACTTTATTTTATAAGGGTTCCTTTAATAAAAGTGCTCTATAAGGGTTTTTAGAGTTCCCGAAATTAAGGAACCCTAATATAGTACCCTAAATAGTAGGATCCTTATTACAAGGCGTACCTTACTTTGGGGTCCTCAAAATAAGGGTCCCTAGAAATAGAAACAACAACACTGCAACTTCTGGAAAACAATCTGTGGACCGACTAAATCCCTTGGCACGTTCAACTCCTCCATGTCAAACCCAAAAAAGTCCAACTGCCCCAAAACCGAAACGCTACAATCCCAGAAAACCCTTCAACAATACTCTCCTCCACTAGCTTACTCAAAACCCCAAACCTTCATGCCAAGACTTGAGTCAGATCCCTCCCACCCCCTTGGGCTCCGGCTGACGCCGACCTCGGGAGCTTCGAGAAATGCGAGGGCTTCCGCCCAGCTGCGTCGCCTGCAACAGGGCTTTCGGAGTGAACACAAACGGGGGTCGGGCCTAAATAATTAGAATAGGGTTCCTTTAAAGGGGTCCTATAAGGGACTATAAGGGGCCATCATAAGGATTTAATATAGGGCTTAAAGGTGAGGATTCAATTTCTATGGGGTCCATGATGTAATTTCCATTAAGCTTCTTTTCGGGGTTCCATAAAACATCGATTAGCAAATTGCATAAGACTTCGATTAGGGGTTCCATAAGACATCGATTAGCAAATTCCAGGAGACTTCGATTAGAGGTTCCATAAGACATCGAATAGCAAATTCCATAAGACTTCGATTATAGGTTCCATAAGACACCGATTAGCAAATTTCATAAGACTTCGATTAGAGGCTCCATGAGACATCGATTAGCAAATTCCATAAGACTTCCATTAAGGGGTTCCATAAGACTCCTATTAGGGGTTTGGGGATCTGTGTAAGGGGCGTATATAAGTGTTGATCCGGGTGTATGGGGTCCTTTATGACGGTTTTGCAACGGGGGCTTGAGACATGACAAGGCACAAGTGCGCATAAAACCAACGACCAATGAAGTTCGTGGCTTCTTTCGCCCTCGGGCTGAGCACCCTTACCCCCAAAAGGGAAATCTTTCGAATTATGGTAGGATTATAAAAACGCCAAAAGGTTGAAGGTTACCTACTCAGCTACTAGGTCATGGCTTCTTTCAGAGTTTCGGATGGCCAAACCCAAACCCTTCCAGATCGCCTACGCCGCGCGAAAACCTAAACGACCTCTTTCCCACACCATCGAATCTCCGTGTCATCGATGCGTCAAGCCCTGCCCCCCCCCCCCCGCCCCGATTGAATTGAAGGTTCAGGGCCTTTAGGGCGTGGGTTTTGGGGCCTAGGGAACAGGGCTGTTGGGTTTAGTATTATTGTTATTGATATTTATTGCTGCTAGTATTGCTAATTACAACTATTACTATTATCATCTTTATTGTTTTCTTTCGGGTTTTGTGAATCCTGGCCCTCGGGTTGTCGCCTTTCGAAGGCTGGCAGCAAGGCTCCATAGGTCACCTCGGCTACATCGCCCCTAAAGAGATCTGCACTTTAAAAGACTTTAGGGTTTAGGGTCTAGTAGTAACCATCAGAATCATAATCCTTACATAGTACATAAGCTTATCATTGGGACATAAAAAAATACTGAACCTCCATGTTCGGACTGCTTGCTTGAGATTTGCCTTCCTGTTTAAACTCTAGCAACCCTATTGTAAAGACCCTTCAACCCCCCAAAACACCCTACTTTTCCCCAACTTGGCGTCGCCCAGAAGAGCTTTTTCTGGCAGTCCGAAGGCAGCTTCATAGCTCGGGATCCTCCCAGGGCCTCAATAATTAGAATAGGGCTTTCCCAAAGGGAACCAGGTACTGTTTTTTGGCGGATACTTCCCCAAATCATACTAGCAATTCCTAATATAGAAACCCTACATTCTACTATAAAGGTACTTTGGACCCTGAGGGTTTGGGATATGTTCTACGATAGCTATCATCAAGAACCCTAAGGACAGGACTCGGACTAGTGTTGGTAAATATTCCGACACCACTGGTATATTGTCCAATCACCTGCTCAGCGACCACTCACAAAAACGCTGTGAGCAGCAGCCGTTAAGGTGTTTCGGCGTCTTAAGCCTTCAGGCATGCAGAACTTGCAAACCTAGAGGCCTTAAGGGTCACAGTAAGGTTTATAAGACTTCGCACGTATTCTAAAAGGTTCTGTTCCCTGATACAAGCTAGGTGTTGCCAGGTTTAGGGTTACGACAATCTTACTGTCCCCATCATTGACTTTCAAGCAGGTCTGCAGGCAGGATCTGCGGGAGGTATGTGCTGATGTATCCCAAGTGGTCGTAGACCGAAAAGATCACCGGAGTCCCAAATCGTAGTATCCACGCTGCAAGAACTCTGAAGAAAGCACCGATGGTCTTGAACAGGTCCCACACCGCCCCTGTCCTGAAATCTAAGTGACACATAAACCCAGTAACCTAGAAGAGAGTTCAAAAGCCAAGAACTGCACCATGAGAACGAACCCGAGTGACGGCGTCCGGGCGTTGAAGCTGACACTCTACGGCTGCAAGAAGTCTCGTGCAGGCCTCTCATCGGGAAAATCGGTGTCTCTGTTGCATCGGCTGCGATTCCCGTCATGGTCTCACGGGGGGTTTTGCACTCATTTGCGTCTTCGCCAAAATCGTATAGGTAATTATTACACAAAAGCCAAATATAGAACCCTTTCAACTACTATAGATCCCTTATAGACCCCTTTACAATTGCAGCATCCCTTTAAGGATCCCTTGAAGGCCCCTATAGTACTGCTTCCGGAACTGCAGGTGTTGAAAGGCTCGCGATCACCGGCTCCCATCGGCTTTCCTCCATTCTCCACCACCAAAGGTAAAAGCAATATAGAGGTATAGGGCTCACTTTAAAGATCCTTAAAGGGGTCTATGGATCTATAATAATATATAATAATGGGGTTCTATATATCAGGGGGCTTTATAGTTACCTATACTAAACTATTTGGGGGGTTCCTTATGACAACTATAGTATAATATACACCGAAACCCTATTCTAATCATTAAGGCTCTTGTTGCGCGTGCAGAGCAAGCCTTCCGATGCTAAAGCCTCAACCTAGGCCAAAGAGTACGAACTGACACCGCTTAGCTGATGCCTCAAAACCAACCCCCTAAACCCTAAACCCTAAACCCTAAAACCCTAAACCCTAAACCCTAAAACCCTAAACCCTAAAGCCCTAAACCCTAAACCCGTTGCCGAATGCCTCCCACTTGTCGGAAGACGCCATGGAAGCCAAGGCCGCATTGAAGCAAATCTTGTTTTGGCATTGGGGGTTGATGAGTTGGGGGGTTTAGGGTTTAGGGTTTAGGGTTTTAGATAATACTAGCTTTTCACTCAGGCTGGGCTTTTCGCCTGTAGGACACGAGCAAGCAGCAAGCCACAGGTCTACACGGGGTCCACCCTCACCTCTTACATAATTACAGATGACATGAGCAGGCCTGCAGGTGCTGCACATGAGCCATCAGGGCTATTGTCGGGGATAACTGTCATAAGGGAGCAAGTGTTCGGAGCTGCTCCGCGCCAAGCAGCGTCGTTGGGAAGCTCCCCGCCCTTGCATAGGTTCGCAAAGAATTGCTGACAAGGCTCCTATGGGGGTTCCTTTTAAAGGCTCCTTGAAGGGCCCCGTTCCAGTTCCTAGAAGGGTTCCTGAACAGGTTCCAAAGGGCTTGGAGAATTTGGAGGCTGTAGGTCTGGGGCTTTGGGTCTACCGGCTTCTTTGAGGCTTTGGAAAGTGTCAGCCAAGAAAAATCACAAAAAAAAAGTAAACGGAGACTGCTAGTTCGGCCAAGGCTTCTGTAAATGCCGCAGATAGGAAGACCAGAGCTCGCCGCCAGACGTGAAGCTGCTTGCAAACAGTCAAAGCCGCTCCCTTACACACCAAATCCGGCTCAGCGCCGTCCATGCACATCTGTCTGTGGAAGGACATACATGCTTCCCACGCCTGAGATGGGCTCGGGTTGTGTCACATATAGCCAGGGAGAACATCAACATCGAGCTCGTCTCTGAGCTGTGAGACATTACACTATCTTCCGAAAGAATTCCTGTTGAGTCCCAGGCTCCAAACCCTTGAGGCAGCTACTCATAGCATTCGCACAGCAGACTGCATCTGCATAGACACCTCCATGCCGCATGCAGCCCAGGAAATACGAAACCACCTGCTGGGTTCTTGTTAAGGAACTCAGTTTAAGTTACCAGCATATTGTAGTATCCTTAAGGGAGGTCCAAGGGGGGTATATAGCCTAGTGATCCCTAATTCTCCCTAGTACTCCCTAAGGTCCCCTTACAGTCCCCTAAGGATTCCTTATACCCTCCCCCCTTGACCACCCTCCCTTAAGGATCCTATAGGAATAGGGATCTACAGTAAATAAGATGGCTTCCTTATTCTGGTAAGTTCATAAATTAAATCCCTTAGCCCCTTAAGCCTTATAGAACCCTTAAAAGAACCTTACCGATTATGATACCTTAGATTAAATCCTTCAATTCCTAAACCCTTATGGAACCCTTAAAGGAACCGTAGCCAGAGCCCTACCTGCCACTGTCCCGCGCGGCGGCAGGCACTTATCGCCCTGTCCCAGAAGTCGATGCGAAGCCCGGCACCTTCAGCTTTGGGGTTGAGGGGTCTTTGGGTTTGGGTTGAGGGGTTTTCTGAGCAGGGGTTTGGGAATGAGGGTTTAGGGTTTAGGTGTTTTGGGTTTAGGGCCGTTTAGGGGTAAGGGATTTTGTGTCTAGTACCGGTTTGCCGGCAATCGCTAGATGCAGGGTTCGTCGTGTCTGCTGCTCGCACCACTGCGCTGCCCACCCCTAAACTCTCGAGCACTGCAACACCCCTCCAAGTCCACAAACTCTGCCAGAATCATCGCAAACCCAGCTGCCAGACCCACTACAACGGAACGAACCCAAACCCAAATCCTGTAAATGAAAACGCTGTACCGTACCCCTACCCCCACCCCCCTTCCCCCCCTCCGGAAGCTGCCTCCCGAAGCAGCCATGGCATCCTGAACAAGCGCCAGAGCCACCTCCCAGGCTTGGCCCAGGTAAGAAGCCAGCACCACCTGGGCCAAAAGGGCCCCTCAACTTCAAAGAGACGTTCCAGCAATCTAAGGAACATTCCATAGAAGGTGGTTCAAGGTTTGGGCGGCATACGGCTTTTGTTTGTGCGAAATCGGGAAGACACATCACTGTCTCAGCCGGTTCTTGGGGTTCTCTCCGATTCGTCTCGGCAGCCCAGCTGCCTCTGTGAAGAAGCTTACAGTACTAGCAAAAATGCACTCCGGCAGCAGGAAGCACACAGGCTTTGCCCTGTCGCTCGATTTCCCGATGAACGGCAACAGTTTTACATTGAAATGCTCGCGGGTATAGTTTAGGGCACACAATTTCAGCTCAGAGCGCTTGTGTGACTTCGAAGCTTCATGGGGTCAAGGTCTCCGGAAGTGGCAGCAACTACCCTCGTCAGGACAAAACGTGCTTCTTTTCCACTCCCTGCACGAGACCCGAAGGACCTCACTAAAATGAATGACATGTCTGCAGGCTCTTGCTGCAACAGATTATTTGCGACTCATCCTTTCCTCGCACAAAACGGCTGCACATTGGATCCTAAGCGGGTGCAGCATGGAAGGTAGATGAGGAAAGATTTAATTACGTAAAACTACCGTAACTGTACAACGGCTTTCGTCTGACTTTACACCAAACAACCTCAATCTGCTTGCAAGATGCCATGGATGCGGAGTTCGCAAATGACCTGGATATCGATCTCGCCATCCAGAACCTGCAGCTTGAAGCACTTTGCCAGGCCCGAAAACTGGCAAGGAAGGACCTTGTTCGTGGGAATGTCTTGTCCCTCGGAAACATAAGCAGAGTGCCAATCAGTTCCGTCTTCGGAACACAGGATCTGAAACGACACGCTCCCCGGAATCTTCGCGATGAAGGAGAAGCCCATGACGTGAACGTGGGAGTGAATAAGGTCCCATCTCATCCAGCCAGGGCCCAGGCTCTTGTTTCCAACCATGCTGCGCGCGAAGTTCATCAACCATTTTGCTGGTCCACCAGGCTCCTCTGAGCCCTGCTCTCGCCCGAGCGTCACCAGCACCCACTCGCCCACAAAGGTGCCCTTCCTGCCATCCTGGTTATAACGAGACCAAAGGGTTCCCAGCACGTTCTTGGAGTGCTCACCGGGCTTCCGCACAGTTGCACGCTGAATCTGAAAGTCGATGAACGGCTGGAGCCCGTCGCTTTCATCCTTGCCCCAGCCTCGTAGCATCTTGGCAAGCTCTGCATCTTCCATGCACAACAAACCCGAGAGCAGGATCTCTTCAAGCAGCTTCCGGCTTAGCTTTGGGCGGCACTTCAGAGCCTCTGCGGGATGAATGAAGATAAACTCCAGCGCTTTCATACGCAAAGCCGCCACAAAGAAGTGGTCTGCAGCTGCAAAGACCTCGCATGCAACCTCAGGAATTGTCTGTGTCACTGTCTGGACGCACAGCTCGTGCAGTTTGCTGACCTGGTACCTGTCTGCCATTGCGGCCACCTCAACAAGCATTGCAGGAGAGCCTTCAATTGTTCCGGAGTACAAGAAGCGCAGGAAAGTCTTCACAGCATCAGGCGAAAAGTCTTGGATGACGACCTGCCCGTTCTTAGATTCCATGCAGCTGTCCGAGCTCAGCCAGCTTTTGAAAACGGGAGACCAGTGCGACAGCAGGGAAGCCCATACCTTAATCTCGGTGCGCTTCACCTTCAGCTCGTCACCATCCTGACCCGTCGATGGCATCTCCTCCGAAGCTGTAGACTGCGCGCTCTCTGACGCTGTCTCTGAGCCCTCGGCAGTGCTGGCAACATCTTCTGCGCTGTTCTTGCAGCCTGCACTGTCCGGCAAATTCTCCTCCACCACAACGGTGAAGTTGCCATCTTTGCCAATGCACATCTCCAACACAGAAGATGCGGACCTGAGATCCTGCCCTTGCACCGGAGCCCTGGATTCTGGCGCCATGCTATTACTATAAGCTGCAGCTAGGGAGATGCTTGCAAATGCTGGTCCTTGAGGTGCATCAGGCGTGATGAACGGACGTGATCGAAGGTGAGTTCTAGGGCATTGTCAAGCATATTACTGGCACATCCCAGAAAGAGGTAATTATCTTAAAGAATGCCGACATTTCACCGGCGACGGCGTCTGTAGATTCAGGATGCCTCTAGCAGAGTGGCTAATGATTGTTGCTCGTTCAGGAGAGCAAGAATGCTGAAGCGCCTCAGTCCCTGTCACAGGGCATGCACGAACAGATACGGTGGGTTCTGCATCTAGCCGCTCCTAGAAGATATGTGATACGTATGATACGTATATATATATATATATATATATATATATGATAACTATCTGATATATAAACACGTGTGTATGCATATACATATACATATACATATACATATACATATACATATACATATACATACATATGTATATGTATATATATGCATATGTATGTGTATATGTATATGTACATGTATATAAGTATATAAGTGTATAAGTAGATATGTATATATGTATATAAATCTGTATGCATATATGTATGTATGTATGTATGTATGCATGTCTGTATGTATATATATATATATGTATATATATATATATATATATAGTATACAGACACGTACATATATATATATATATATGTATACACACACACACAGACACACGCGATTCAGATAGATGGCCGCTTGAAGCCAACTGCAGGGGCAGGCACCCTGTTTGCATTGTAAGCCTTGGCCCAAAGTCTTGCAATCCACTCAATAACCAAAACCCTGCACAAAAACCCTAAGACCCCAACAGGTCAGACATGTCAGACAGACTCAACTCTCTGAGCCATAATGAAAGGCTCTACCCATAGGCCCCAAAGTAGTTGACTTTTGGGATTACCTTATAGGATTCTATATATGAACCCCAAAACGGAACTACTTTGGGGCCTCTGGGTACAACCCGATGAACCCGTGAATTTGGGACCGGAGCTGACCACTAGCAATAGGAATCTTACTGCGCGGATCCTCACAACAGGTACCCTACATACTTCTCTGAAACTCTGGGGTTACCATAATAGGGATACATAAGGGCTCCTTTGAGGGATCTTTATTACAAGGTTCCTTTAAGGGTGTACGGATTTAAGTCAAGTAAGTGCTCCTCCCAACTACAGACCAAGGCTCGGCACGATAATGGAGCGAATCTAGGCGAAGGTCACGAAGCCTTGTTACAGTATAGGGTTCAGGGTTTAGGAGTTTAGGCTCCAGGGTTTAATGGTGTAGAGGTTTAAGGGTTTAGGGTTTGGGGTTTAGGTGTTTAGGGTGTAGGCTTCACCAGCTTCATTTTTGGGTGTTTAGGATTTACGATCCTACAATTTTCACGGTTCGACGGAAAGGAACTCATCAGGCTTGCAGTCTAGGGGGTAGTTCGCTCAAGCTGAAGATGCTCAAGAGAACAGGCACACCGAATTAACCAAGGGGCGGGGGGGGGGTTGTGTCTGCCGCATCCCTCATCCCTCGCAAGATCTTGTGAGAGGAGTTATCATATACATGCGATGCGATTTTGCCGATCGGTGTCTCACTTGGTTTGAACATCACTTCAATCCTCCGGGAGGACCAAAGCAGTGCACCCCAATGTATAGTGGGTGGCTCATGACTCTTTTCTTTGTGAGTTGGCAAACGACAATGCGACGTAGCAAGCTCCTGAATACCTGCTGAAAGTTCGCACTCTTCCGGGAAGCAGTTGGGACACCGACTGAAGAATGTCAGAAAGCTTGTGTCTTCTGCGAGGAATGTGATGCGGCACCACTGTTGGTTGATCCGCTTCGGGTATCTGAATAACTATAACACCCCAAAACAAAACTCCCTGCTCCTCAACAGACAAGCCTAGACTAGGACACAACGGTAAGGCCGTAAACCCCCCTGCTAAGCTCCAAGCTCCACAAGACCTTCATGTATGGATCAGAGGTTATATGTAGGTTACAAGGGTACCTTGCACGACTCCCGAGAAGAGTCCATCCAACCTCAGGCCTTGATTACGTTTAGGAAAAATGCGACTTTTTATCACTATAAGTACTATCCATTGATAGCACTATGGTCATTGATATTACTACTAATACGAACATTCACTCGAATCATTATATTAATATCAAGAACAAAAACATTACTTATTTCGTACATCCGGCCTCAGGTCTTGAAGGAGGGTGATGGCTTCCAGGGCTTGAGCCCCTCGGGCAAGCGCCGTAAGCTTCCCCGCAGCGATTTTTGAACCTCAGAAGGCGAGGTCCTGGGTCCCCTATCGGTGCTGGTATGTCTGAGTTGGAGGCCCTGACATAGGGGCCTTTAAGGGATCTATATTAGGGCTAAGGGCCCCCCTTAAGGGATCTATAGGGGGGTACTAGAAGGGTTTAGGGTTTAGGGTCTACTTGGAGGATCATGGGACTTGGTAAGTATGGTTATAGGTACCTGAATGGGGGTTACAAGTAGATATAAGTATAGTCACTCTTCTAATACTATTTTGTCGAATTCACATGATCGCTTGACTAAGTAGGGTTCCATGTCTATAGCAGTCTAGGGCTAGGGCTTGTCCGCACTGTCCAGCCGGGAAACCTGACTTACGAGCGAAGCAGTTGCCAGACAGTGTAATATAGGAGCCTTATTAATCAGAACAGAAATAGGAAACTGTTTAGGCCCCTATAGTAGGAATCAGAGCGAGTAGAATAATGGATGCAAACTGCAATCTCGTGCAAAAACCAGCCCGTAGGAGCAAGGACGACAAGGCTGGGACAGCAGCCGGCTGCATAGACATCAAAATACCGATGTGTCAGACAAAGCTGAAGAAACATGCCAAGTGATCTGAGCAAGCTCTTAACGTTCTGTCAACGCCCATCCACAATGAAAATTGATTCAAAATAGATGCGATGACGGCCAACACCTTGATCTCTGGAAACTTGAACTCCAAACCCCACGACGATACACCCAAAACCCCAGCACCCGGCGCCCTGAACCACAAACCCGAAATCACTACTAAACCTCAAAACCCTACGCCCTATTATAAGCCCCACCTATAACTACAATTCCCCATTATAAACCCCCTTAACTTAATGTTGAACAAGCTAGCGCCCCCACTCCCCCCACCCCCCTCCCTCGGCAAAGGCGGCTTGGCAGCTTTTTCGGGCAGAGCTCTTTGGCTGACCCTGGACAAGGTTTAGGGGTTTAGGGGTTTTGGGTTTAGGGGTTTAGGGTTTTAGGGGTTTAAGGGTTTTGGGTTTAGGGGTGTGTGGTTTTGGGGGTTTAGGGGTTTTGGGGGCTTATAGGGGCTTAGGGTTTAGGCTGAATACAACTTGGCTCTAGGACTTAGCAGATCAGGGGCTTAGAGCTCGACCGCTTGCGGTTTAGGTACTGACGGTTTTGCGGTTGGTGGGGCATGTGTGGTTAAGGGGTCTAGGTCTAGGGTTTTGGGGGGGTTCGACCTCGGTGGGCATGTCGACTTTCAACATGTGCTTGCAAGAGTGCGTTTTTGCGGCTTCGTGGTCCCCAGAGACTCCAATATCCCTTAATTAAGGAATATTCCCTAAATCATATTAGGGATCCTACTATAATTTAAGGTATATTCCTTAATTAAGGGATATTGGAGTCTCTGAGTCTCTCTGCTGCAGCACCTGCGCATCGCAGATCCCATCAGCCGGGGTCGCAGCCGGCATTTCAAGCCCAACGCCATGCTGCCAGGTAGTGCCTGTCATTTGTCCACAGTCACAGTTGACGACCGCTATCCGTGCACACGCTTAGATTGCATACTCTCACGCTTTGTCATCGCAAGCAATCATTAATAATTTGTCAGATGGCTCTTTTGCTTTAGCCTCGGCTCACAAAGGGCTATGCATTGCGGTTTTGGGGGTGTTCGGCTTCACTTCAGTTGGGTTTGGACCACTCTACTTCTCCCACGCTGAGCCAGCAACCATGGGACCCGCTTTATGAGAACCTGGCGAGCCACGTCATCTATGTGCTCAAAACCAAACGAGAAGCCTTCCCTATCCAGCCTTCTACCTCGGCAGGGTCATGGCTCGAGGCGACAGCCAGCAGGCGGCGCGGTAGGACCCGCCATGAATTCCACAAGAAGGCATGAACTGCCCAAATGGGGCTTCGTAAACTTGTAGGGGTGCTAATCAAAAGTCCTTTCAATAAGGATGCTACTCATGATTGAGGCCTGCCATTTGGCGAGGTCCTGTATTTCGCCATATTTGCTGAAACTCTGATGTGAGCGTTTGCAGATGTCGTGACCCGTCACTAGCTTGAAAGCTGCAACGTGTGGCTGCAAATATTCTAAGCATCTTCTCGCAATGGTTGGATGCTGCTCGGTGGCTTTGTAATTTGCTTTTAGGGCAATTACCCATCTGTACCCCCCATACGAACCACACCAAAAAGAACACAACCCACGGAACTTCTGCGTGTGGCATGCGCTTCGCCTCTGTCTCTCGTCCTTCTTGAACTAACCTGTCTTCATTGAAAGAGCCAACTGCACATCACGCGGAAAACCTTGTTGCTCGAGCCCAGAGGTTGCAAAGCTCCACCACCCCATGAGTAAGTAGCAGCAACTCTACACAACATTCTCAAGCATGGGGGCATCAAGAACCATGACAAAATCTCATCCCATGTCTAAGCCCAAACCTGCAGCGCATAGCAGCTGTTCAAAACTGTTTGAACTAAAGCTGTTTGTTCGGTTTTACACATGAACCGCGCGAACACCCCTAAAGCCTAAATAGTGTTAGTATTAGTACTAGTAGTAAGTAGTAGTTTCTTAAAGGACGGCTGCCAGAAGTCCCAAGCCAGCTCAGCTCCAGCGGATTTAGGGTCGAGTGAGGCTTGCTATGGTTTTGTTAGGAATTTCCTGTGCCTGAAACCTAAGCCTCCGTGTCTTCGATCTTTAGCCAAAAAGTAAAGAACCAAGAGAAACTTGTAGCTTGAGTGTCGGAAGCCCCGGGGTGGCGGTTTAGGGTTCATTGTTTCGAAAACAACCTTCCCGCGCGGGTAACGCGGTCACACTCGCAGCTCTGGCCTCGACTGTCTTGCGCGCCTCAGCATTCAAAGCTGTTAATTCGTCATCGAACTGCTGCAGTTGAGGTTTTGTGACTGCAAAGTTCTGCAAAGAATGCTTGCACAGGATCACGGAGGATGGTGATTTGTGATATGCCGACAGCAATGTGGCAAAGCATACTGAGCATTGTACGGATAGTGTACGCGCTGATTTGTACAGCCGGCCCCGCAGCACAACAAATATGTGGTATTTCCTGTCACTTTCTTGGTGCTGTGCTGTATCATCAGCAAGACTATCATTCCCTGGCAGTGAAGCAATATATCGGTATTCTTATCACATCTTGGAGCCGTACTACAATAGCAATCGACATCAACTCACTCAGTCTCCGACCATGTTCGAGGCCCACTAAATTCGAGCCGCTGGTGGCGGTAATGCCGCTCTGCCTGAGGCTTCTGTGTGTATGTGCAAGTCCTGCCCTGTTGTTAAACAGTGCTGGAAACTTCAAGATATTCTGCCATGTCCACAGGATACAGGGCTCCGGCTTTCGACAGAGTCTTCCGGGCAGCAGGCTCGTGTTCAGTCGCACGGTCTATCGGCACGCTAAGCCCCCAATCAACTTGCTGACTTGGTTTTCGCGATAAAGCTATCATAGTAGCTAAATCAGAATTTCTTAGCCCAAACTGACCTTTCTCGACCTTGAAGCAACGTAGCCAAGCTTATGTCCGAACGCAGCAACAAGGCCCACGCCATTTCAAGAAGAAGCCGCAGTTGCCAGACTTGTGTTGAACACAAAGCATGTCAACTGGTCTTAGGCATCTGGCTTCACACGACAGAGTGATGGAAGACTGGACCACGCTTGAAAGGCCCGGATGTAAGGAAGCCCTGCGAAACAGCCACAGATGTCCTGTTTGCAATGCTCGGCCTTCGACAGCGTGCGCAATTCTCAAAGTGGCAGGTTCGGTGCTTTCTTGCGAAGATGTGAAATCCGAGATCTTCAACCAAAAGCTCCCATCATAGTTTTGGCTTGCGGTTGGCCAGGGTTGCTGTCAGTGCGGCTGGTACTTAGGATTTCTGCTGGCGGCTAGCAACCCGGATGTGTTCCCAAACGAAGCTTGCACAAGTGGCAAGTGTTCATGCAAGGCACATCCGCGAAAGGGAGAAGCCACGCTTCATCCGCTCCTGAACAGAAGTTTGCAAACGCTCTGTTGCATCTTGAAAACTCCATGATACGGTGAACACCCGTACCACCGTAGTAACGCCGTAGAAATCTAGAGGATATGTTCAAGGCCGTGGCTGCTCCGTACATACATGTGCTTCGAACCCCAGTCCATGATGTTACAAGTGGGCTGAGCGGGCAGAGGAACAAAATGGCGTCCTTCTCTCGGATGATGAATACGTTTTTGTCATAGTATTAGTCGTAGAACCACACTGACTAACAAATTATCAGTCTCCATCCGCAACTGCCGCACGCCAAGCCGTGCCTGGAGCCTTTATTGCAGCTTGAGTGATGAACATTGCCAGGATCATCGTATCACTGTCGTATCGAACCCGCGGCAATGGCAGCTAAACAGGGGTATCAAATAAAGTCGACAGATTAGCAGTCAGAACAAATGCCAAAGAGCACAACAACGGCGATCCTGTACCGCTACAACAGAAGTACCAGCAGTGAAGGGAACGGTGCAAGGCTCCTCCAGATTACTGACGACGTTCCGGATCTCCGTCTGGTTCGCGTGTAACCTCGGTATGTCTGAACAGCATCCCTCCAGCAACCGCTTTTGACTTTTGAAAACCCAAACCGCCCCAAGTGCATATGTGAACAGTATCCATCTACTTGCTGCCTGCTTGGAAGCTAGCAGTGGCTTACCATATCCTGCTTGATACCCCGTTCTGCATGGATGCCCATGCTCATTCTTTCTCACTACTCTGCATTCTGTTGAAGGTGATACTAAGTGGATCCTCACAACGTGCGCGAACTGCATCTGACCTGCCGGCAGTACCTTGCCCAGTCTGTACAACATGATCAAGTGCTCTACGGCCCGGAGCTGCGGTGTGGCACGCGGAACTACCGTTTAACATATCAGTTGCGATGCAGTGCTCGTCTGCCATGCCATGCCATGCATAAACACACACACACACACACACACACCAAACTGACCTGGAAGGCTTAGGGCCCAAGTTCTCACGACAGCAACCACTTCAGGGTCTATTCGATTCACCCATGCTGCGCCACACCCAAAAACACCGAAAGTGAGACCAGCACTCCAGAACACAATGCCCGAGAGGCTGGAGAACAAAACTCTAGAGAGAGGGTTTTGATCCAACTAAGCATGCTGAAGGTGCCTAACGAAGATGATGGCTTACCCTAAACCCTAAACTAAACCCTGAACCCTAAACCCTAAACCCTAAACTAAACCCTAAACCCTAAACCCTAAACCCCGATGCAGAACTCAAGGAACCACCGCGGACGGGAATAGGGCTCCTTCACGGGATCTATAGGGTTCCTTTAAAGGGATCTATAGGGTTCCTTTCCTTTTAAAGGGATCTATAGGGTTCCTTTTAAAGGGATCTATAGGGTTCCTTTCCTTTTAAAGGGATCTATAGGGTTCCTTTTAAAGGGATCTATAGGGTTTAGGGTTTAGGGGTTTAGGGTTTACCTTTGGTTAGTAGGGAATGGAAGGGGCCTTATACAGGGGTCTATAAGGGTTGCTATAAGGGATCTATAAGGGTGCTATAATATAGGGGCCTTAATAATCCTATGTCTTACCTTTGGTTAGTGGGGAATGGAAGAATGGTAGTAATAGTAGTTATAAGTGTACCCCATTCCTCCATTCCCTACTAACCAACGGTATAAGTAAAGGCAGTCTCATCAACATTTGCGCTTCACTCGCAGTCCTACTCTGAATATAGCTCTGATTGCTACGACAATGCTAAAACAATGGTACCATCGGTGGCAATGGTGCTAATTGCCACTGTATGCTACAGTGTGAACTACGAAAACTGTAGAGAGCATTACGAATCCCAACTGGCATAACCACCAACATCTCCGTAATCCTCAACCAACTCAGTCGGGCTGCGTCCTGCGTAAGTCCATAATGTCCTTGAGAGTTACCTGCGAGTATGGCAACCTACACACGCAAGTCGAACATCTACAAGCCTTCATGAACCCTAAACGCCATGCCACCCCAAACCATGAACTCTAAACCCACACAATGCCAACCCTAAAGACACAAACCACAAGCTTGCACGCCCTCCTAAACCCGAAAGCCTACGCAGACCCACACTACCTGAAACCCTACTTGGAGGTTCATGGGTAGTTATAAGTGGGGTTATATGTAGGGTAACTATAACCCATATTAGGGGACTTATAACCCTACTTATAACTACCCCTGAACCTCCAAGTACTGTGTAAACCCTACACCATTTCAAACGGGAAAAAGGAGGGACCCGTAATGCGGACCCCTACCCTATAATGGGCTATATAATGGGCTATATAATAGCTATATTATGGGTATATACCTAGGGGTCCTTATTAGGGGTCCCTCCTTTTACCTTTTGACCAGGTACTAGGATACCCAGTAACCTAAGAATAAAAAGGCCTCTCTTTTTGGTATTGGGTAACTTTATAAGGAACCTAGGACTACAAAAAGGAAATAAGGGTACCACTGTGCATCCTAGACCACTTTATGCCTTTAGGCCCTAAGATCTCCCAAGATCTCATCGCACGTGGGCTAGTAACTAGTGCAAGGCCTTCCTGGACGCTTAAAACCTACCTTTTTAGGGTTCCGTAATATGATTTCCTTACATATATATATATATATATATACATATGAAACCTTAACACGGTAGGTTATTTAGGGTTTAGGTTGGCCTTGGTCCCGAAGCAGGGCATGTTTGGAGCGACAGTGTCATCTATAGATATACACGCACACACGCACACACTCACATGCTTGTTTTATTTTCTTCTTCTGCATATCTGCTTTTGGTACTTGTTTTTCTTCAATTATTCGTACTGTTTCACTGGTCTATAATGGCTGCCAATACTGTAGTGTCTCATAGTCTTACCTAGTAGGCTGCAGTATGCTATGCTACGTTCCCGTGTCTTCAGGCAGGAGGGCAAGGGAATTCTACATCGGAAGATGTCTTCAAGACCTTCCGGATGAGGGCCTTTGACTTCAGGACTATCTCGCTTCTGTGTGTGGTAGTGGGCGGGCAAAAGTCTGGGCTCAATGGTTCGGGGACATGCGGTCAGAGATGGATACCGCGGGCCAACATAATGGTTACTTGGAGGTTCATGGGTAGTCATAGGAGGGGTTGCAAGTCCCCTCATATAGGATATGATATAATATATCTTAGCATGAATCTCCAGGTAAATGGTTTTAGAATCTTCTTGATGTTCTTAACTCTTACAAGCGAAACCACAAGTGCACAACTTCTCGCTGCTGCTCAGGAGCGGTGTTCGACCCTCGAAGGGACATAATTACGCGAAGGAACTCGTCGAAAGAGAGCTCCTAGCCGAGGGTGCAGTGCCGGGATCAAAAACGTGAGGCTGCAAAGGCAGAACCCCTGAACCTCTGTAAACCAGTAACCCTGAACGACGCAACCCAACAACTCGAAACCATCTTGAAGCCTGACCCGTGGTTAAATAGAGTTCAGAGCCTGAGGGTGAAGAAGTTCAATAGTAGGGAGAAGGCAACTGCTTGCCTCACTAGTCAGCAGCCCTATTCACAATGGCCAATCCGCTGGTACCTCCGGCAACGGTACATTGGAGCCTCCAAAGAAAGCTCCCCGGTTACTGTATGCCATGCAACGAATGCCCTACACGCGGCAGCCTTCATACTCCCGCTTCGAGCTCGAGCCCGGGCCGCTACGGTTGATGGTATAAATCCTGCATTACCTTAATGGCCCTAAACTATGGGAATTATGGTATATTCCTTATTATGGGTAATGCAGGATTTATATCATCAACCGTAGCAGCTTGAACCCTGATCGCGAAACCCAGGAAGACCAGCCCCCAGCAGCAGTCCCTGTCGAACTCTTGGCCGTTGAGATCACTCCTGACGGAAGTTGCAATTGTCCGGTTTCGGGTTTGGCTTGGGGGGACTACTTGGAGGTTCAGGGGTAGTTATAAGTGGGGTTATAAGTAGGGTAGCTATGCTTCTAACCTATATTAGGTTATTAGGGGACTTATAACCCTACTTATAACTACCCCTGAACCTCCAAGCAGCAGGTACTAGGTGGCATGTATGGGCGATCGGGGTTTGAAACTGCCTGGCAGCTGGAGTTCCAAATGTTGTATGCTTACCCGAAAGGGTCATATGTACTGTTATGGGGGATACTTCCCTAAGTCATAATCGTAATTCCGAATATGGAAACACTACATTCTACTATATCGGTACATAGGACCCTTCGGGTACTGGCTCATCTGCAAAGCTCGGTGGAATAGAGGAGCGGAGAAATCACCACAGCTCCATGGGCTCAAAAGTTTCTAAGCCGTCTACCCCACCGAAATCTGCAGAACTTGACAAGCCCTCAACCCCCCACCCAGACACAGACACACCCACACACACCCAGACACACACACACACACACGCACATACACATACACATACACATACACATACACATACACATACACATACACATACACATACACATACACATACACATACACATACATCTCTCACACACACAGACAAACACAAGAGCGAAGCCGGTCAGAAGGTGTCACAAACCTGGAAGCCCTGTACATCGCTTCACTTAACCTTTTTGTCTTGTGCATGACTGCTCCCATTACGACAACAACGACGACGAGACGAGTACAGCTGCCATTTTACAACTCTCGCTGCTGCTACTACTTTAAGACCTTGCTACTACTACGACCACTACCACCTACCACCGCGACCACGACCACGGGCACTAGCACTAGCACTTGCACCAGCACTGCCGCTACCACGACGACGACGACTGCTGGTGCTACTGCTCCTTCTGCTACTGCTACTACTACTACCACTACCACTACTACTACTTCACATACCACCACCACCGCCGCCACCACCACCACCACCACCACCACCACCACCACCACCACCACCACCACCACAACCACCACGACTTCTGCTGCTACTGCGGCTCCTCGTGCTGCTGCTGCTGCTGCTCCTGCTGCTGCCCCTTCTACTTGGTCTTGCTAATTACGACAGCTAGTGGTTGTCGAGACCAGCGGCTGGAACATGTAGTCGGCGATGTCGACCAGACCCATGACATCCACATGAGCCTGCCGTGTTCGAGGATTCGGTGGAAGCAAGCCATGCCTGATCTGGGCAAACCGTGCTAGCAAAGCAGTTGAAGTCGATTCGCAAGACACAGCACACCAAGATAACAATTGATCATAATTATGCCGTTTGCACGGAGCCTGCAGCAGTGATAAGCCGCGACCCAGCACTGCGGCCGAGAGTAGTGTCATGGTGCGTGCTACGGGAAACCAGGACTCTGCCAATCCCCTGCGAATTCAGCAGACCTGACAAACCACTCCCAGAAAAGAGACAACGCTTCCAATGCGGGCTCAGGTGGTAAACAGATCAACCATAAGTGTATATGAACCCACAACAAGCATGTCTGCATGCATGTACGTTTGGTGTATGGCTGCAATGTGATCTACATAGTCCAATGTCGTGTCATGTGATGTAGTACCAGATATGTATTGTAATCTCTGTCTGTCCGTCTGTCTGTCTGTCTCTATTCCCGCGTGCATTTATGTTCGTATGCACGTGCGTATGCATGTGCATGTGCATGTATGGGCGAAATGCATGCATGGATGCTCGTGTGTGTATATATATATATATACACATACAGATGTATGTAATCACGTAGATGTGTACGTACAAATGTAAGGATGTACTGCGATGTCATCTGATAAGATGTTAAATGCTGTCATAGGCCGTAGGATGTGAAATAACGCAACATGGTGTAGTAAGACTTCGTATGGTGTAACATGACACAAAAGTTAATGGTGTGCTATAATGTTGTACAGCTGACTGACTAAAGCCTGAGATAATGTACATGCACAATGCAGCAGTAGGTAACATAATTGCGGACTCTACATATATGAGCGTGTATACGTTATATATGCACACAAAGCCAAGTGCATACCGTGAGCAATGTTCCGCCAGTTCCACATAGATGCACCACCATATACTGTGAACGGTGTTGTGTGAGATAGCTGACAAGATCTGACAAGCCTCGCTCAACAGGCGCGTAGATCTACCTCAGTTGTACATGCTGTGATGCCAGCATTGAACCCGACACACTCAAACCGCCTCACATGAGGCCGCAGGACATTGCTACTCGTTTGGGCGCAGCCAAACTGACGGCACAGAGCTGCAACTTTATGTCGAGTTGAGCCTCCTGCAGGGTTTTGCTTTTGGGGGCTCGGAATAGTTTTCAAGCTCGATCAGCCACCATCATGATCCTCGCTCAACAAGGGCCGTGGGCCTTCAGCTGCCATGCCAACACACTGAAACTCACAAAAAAGCTAATGCCTTATGATGAACACTCTCGGGCCAAGCAGCGATCATTCAGTATTCCCAACCTCGAGCAATGTCTTTGGAGTGGGGACAGAACTATTAAACATGGGACATAGGGCATGTACAGATGTGTGTGTGTGTGTGTGTGTGTGCGTGTTTATGTGTGTATATAAACATACACATACATATGCATACACACACACACATGCAAATGCGCATAACTTGCATGTAGCTTTACATGCCGGTAAGTAAACACACATCATAATATGTGAGGTACATGTGTTTGTGTATATATATATGGATATATATATATGTATATATTATATATATATATATATATGTGGTAACCCCCCATGACAGAGCATGTATGTATATATACTTATATGTATATATATATATATATATATGTAAGTTGGTGATACGACATGAACAGTACAGTGCTACACCGCTAGAACATGTAATAATCTCCAGCACTTTGGCGCCTAGGTCTATGCTTGCGGATCCAAAACGGGCATTCACGGCTGGGTTTTCGTATGTGTGGCTTTAGGTTTTGTGTTTAAGCCCCTTTTCCGTCTGACAAAAAAAGGGGCTTAAACACAAAAGGGGCTTTAGGTTTAAACTCTAGGGTCGGGGTTAAGGCTTAGGTGTTCGGGTTTATGCTTCTGATTGCAGAGACTTCTTTGTTTGAGACTCTTTGGCGTTATGCTAGTGAACCCACGTTCCAGGCGACAGAGGGCTTGAGTCTATATAATGAAAGCCAGAAAGTTGGAACATCATTATCCTCATGCCCTGACAGTAAAGTATAGGGAATCCTAGCACTAATCACCCTTAATACATGTTCCAAGTTTCTGTGATTCACTACAGGCCACTGGAGCCAGAAACCCATACTGTTCTGGGGGTTCCTAATTATAACTATGGTATAATGAGCCCCAACCAACAACCTATTCTAATTGATCATGATAAGCCGTCGAAACCTGCATCGCTCAAGCTGCGCATGTCGGAACTCAGTGTGAGAAATAGGAAGCACCGGTCGGACTCGGCAGGTATCGAATTGGCTTTCGAGAATGTCCACTCAACCCCGCTGTAGTCAAATCCACAGTGTTCGCAAACCACACTCGCATATCTGGAGCTTGAAGTGAAACCCCTAAGTCCTAAGGCCTCTAATCCCAAACACCTCATGCCCTGAATCCTCCGACTTCTGCTGCTTAGCGACAGCTCGTGCTGCGTGATGCGGCCGGAAAGGCCGCGTTCCTCCATGATCTGTTGGACCTGTCAGGAATCGTTTCAGAGTTTAGTTAGGCTCTCAAGGTTTAGTTTAGGAGTTCGGGGGTACTTCAATCAACCACACCCGAGCTTGGTGTCGATGTGGCGGCCCTGTATCGTTTTGGAAAGATGGTCTCATTGATTGTGTGGCACTGTGTGCGTCCAAAACATCACATCAGACCTGATGCAACGAGCTTCACAAGACATTCACAAATTCTTTGGGCCTTGAGCCCAAAACCCGACTAAAAATACTAATACTAATACTAATACTAATAATACTAATACTAATACTAATAATACTAATACTAATACTAATACCATTACTAATATTAATACTATCACAACTTCGGAGTCCCCAGCTTTCTCTGTACGATGTATCAGGAGAAGCAATCAGCATGAAGCGGGTTGCATGGACCCTTAGGGTTTAGGGTTTAGGGTTCGGAGGCCCAGGAACCACCTAGACATCGGCTGCTGGGACTCTATAAACCCTAAGCCCCAAACCCTAAACCCTAAACACTAAACCCTAAACCCTAAACCCTACACCCTGAAACAGAAGCCTCGGCACCCGAAGCAGAATGCCGGAGAGGTTGTCTAGGTGTCTTGCTGCGGTCTGCAGGATCGGAAACCGTGAATCACAACTTTCGCAAAAGCTAGCTCGGTGTTTCCGAAAATAGGGGGGGCCCTAATAGAGTGACCTCAATAGCAGGATAATTATGTCGCAAGCATAAACCCGAAGTCGCACAGCCTAGCCGACAAAGTCGTCCAGAAGTCGGCTAGCAGGTTAAAAGAAAAACAAACGAACATGGCCTTGTCTCGAACGAAGGCCTCGGCGATCCTGAGACATCTTCGGGTCTTCTCTACACATCTGCCGTTCAGATCCTCTACTGAAGCTCAAGGTTTTACACCGCGTATATGCAAAACATTTTCTGCCATTCGAACACAGGTATGCACTCATCATTCACGAGGCACCCAGAGACTCCGTTATAGCTTCATTAGGGAATATTCCTTAAATCATATAAGGGATCCTAGTATTATTTGAGGTATATTCCTTCATTAAAGGATATTGGAGTCTCTGGGTACTCGGCTTTGCAAGCCTGATGGACGGGGTGGACTGGCGGTAGTTCCGGAACCAGCCTGTGACCTACTTTCGCACGAAGCAACACTCTTTGCTACAGTTTGCCCAGAGCCCGACATGTATGTGTATACATATACATACATGTACATATATACACACATGTAGACTTGTACAAGGTATGCATACGAAACATGTGATATCTATATATATATATACACATACACATGTATATATATATAATATATATATAATATATATATATATATATATATATATATATATATATGTATATACACACATATATACACACACAGAGACATTTATGCGCACATATGTACACCCATATATATATATATATATATATATATATATATGTATGTATATATATATATATATATAATATTGATCCTGATATTCATTACATGTGTGTGTATATATATACATGTGTATTGTAATCTTGATCCAAGGGTCACTTCTCTCTCGGTCTGAGACACACCACTGACAACTTCGCACATCACGCCGATGAGCATGTTGAGGAGTAGCCTGAGTGAGTCTCTTATCCCGATCCAAGACGAGAATCCTCTGCCCGTTTTCTGGGATCTGTGGTATCAAAATCACTTTCAAAAGCAACTCCACAGCGGCATGGCAGGGTAAGGTAACCCGTGAGTGAGAATGCCTACTACTAACAAGACAACAAGAGGCCATGAGCTTTAGTGCTCGCGCTGGCGTTGTGCCAGGTGTGTAGATACTGAACTTTATGCTCAGGGTTGAGGGTTTGAAGCCCCTCTCAGTCAGACCTATCAGCATGAGGAGACAGGTTGAAAATCGTCGTGAAGGACCTCAGTGACTGCAGCGTCTTTTGATCAGTGCAGTGTTGAGGGACACGTTCGGCTGAGAGTATTCACCACATGAGACAGCGCTCGTGCAACTTGTGTTGTGTTCTTAATATAACTGTGGGGACACACACATACATACGCATGACATAGGTACATACATACCTACATACGTACATACATACTTACATGCATACATAAATACATACATACGTATACACAAATACACAATCATGTTCTACAAGCATGCAGTTCCACACACACACACACACCCACACAGACACAGACAGACCACTTCATATACGTTGCTTCAATATACGAAACCTAAGCCTGTGGATGCATACGTACACGCCCACATCACACTCATACTCCCACTCTGCGACGCATCAGACTTGGCTTATTCCACTCGGAATGTCCCTGACCACAACGCCCACGTCAGCGACCAAACCCTGGCCTTAAACCAACTTTTTGACTCATACGACGACCTGATTCATCAACATGTGCAGCTAAGGGGCAGTGCCGAGAGCGCTATAACGACCACGAAGATGACCTTGTCGAAAGTTCGGTTTGGGTAAAGGCATTGGCCTTCGGGCTTTCGAGTTTGGGGTTTGAGGTTAGGGTTTCAAGCTTGGGTTTTCGGGGAGAGCGCGTCGGGGTTTAGGTCTAGAGTCTAGGCATTGGGCTTTCGAGTTTGGGATTTCGGTTTAAGGACTATTGGGTTTCGAGTCTCTTCTAACTAATATCAAGATCTGCAAAGAGAGGCAGGTAAACCCCCGGCAGCAAACCGGCAGTTTGGAGGCACGATGTCCCTGAATGGGTGCAGCAGGGATGCAACAGGGCTCCTAAAACTTGGCGGGATGCATGGTGTCCAGCTTGAACTCAAGCAAGCCTGCACTAAACCTTTCCAAGTTGTTCGGATGCTACAGACAACACGGCCTGACAGGCAAAACTGATGGGTTAGAAGACCGAGCCTATAAACCCTGAACCCCTTAGCCTTAAACCTGAGATCTGGGGATGTCGGCCACAAATCTTTCATGTCACTGATGTCTGGCTTGGAGCGCTGCCACAGAAATTTGAGCCGAAGGACATGAACCCACATGCAACCCCAAAAGAGGAAACAGAAAACTAACACCCTTGAAGATCCTGAAATTCCGCAACCGTAGGCTCCGATGCAGACCAGGTGCAGATGCCACATAGTTTCCCGACAGAGTCTGAATCACCTCCCCGGGAGAATCCAGCAACGTGGCGTGAAGGAGCAGCATAAACCTGAGACAAAAAATCTTGTTTCAAGTTGTGATATGTACATACAGACATATATACATATATATATATACAGAGAGAGAGAGAGAGAGGCCCTTACGACAAACCGCCCTCAGACAGATAACCACCCTCGTACAAGTATGTGCATACTTCAAGACCTTATGCACCATGCAATCTCAGGACGTCCGTATCTTCTGCGCCACGATCTATCACGGTTCTCGGCTCACCGAGGGGGGAGGACAAGGAGACCCGAATCCCGAACCGCACAACACCACAGGGCAGGTTGGGGAGGAGAGGGTCGGGGGAAGCTTCCCAGCCGGATATATATATATATATATACATATATATACATATATATATATATAGATACATATACATGGGTTGTTGTCAAAATGCTTATTCCCGAAACTGACGTTAATGTGGCTGTAGTTGCGTGCCGCTTCATGTGGCAAAAGAAACCCTGGCTTACAGATACATACCAGCAAACGCAGGAGTTTGGGAATGCATGCGTGGATTCTTAAGAAGGGTACTAGCGCGCAGGCTTTTCACCAGCTGCTGTCCGAAGAACTGTCGCTGCTGCTGCTACTGCTGCTGCTACTGGACTCTTGGCGGGAATGCAAGATGTCCCGCTGCTGCTGCTTGCGAGCATGGCGCGGGTTCGACAGTAACGTGTTGCTTGCCCTTGACCTCTGACCCCCGTGGAAAGCAGGGTGGCTGTTACAAACACCGTGGAATCCACGGTGGCTCAACAACATTCAACAACCCTATTTGTCCTGAGTGCGAACCAGGCCCCTTGTATTCAATGTGGGGAGGATGAAGGGAAGGAAATGATGGCCTGACGGGCCTAACGTAGGCCTCCCTGAGCAGTCACCACTGCGGATCTCGGCATAAATGAGCAACCCCCGGCGCGCACGAGTTACGAGCAAGTTACGCGAAAGTTACTCGAAAGTTACGCTGTAAGTCGGAATGGAGGCGCCCGGCAACTGCAATCCGACGAGCTTGAATGGGCCCGGGTCTTCCAAGGCAGGTTGCGTTGAATTTTTGCTAGCGCCCACCTAGCGCGGATCTAGCGCACTGGCCTCTCTTACAAATGCCTGAAAAATGACCTCGCTGCAAGCTCGGATGAGGCGGCACAAAGGCAGCGAGGCAGAGAACTCCTGAAGACACCTACGAGTACTCTTGTTACGACAACAATGAGTGCTGTTCAGCTCCGGAAATCTTCGGGTTTTGAAGATGCATGGCTTTAGGTTTTCATTACGGATCCTGCGCGTTTGGGGCGCTTTGGTAAAACCTTGAGCATACGACATCATGCGGTTCGATTCCTGCCTAGCGCGAATCTAGCGGTTTTCCTAGCGCCAACTTCGGTAATAAGTGGCTCTACTTGCGTGCCGCCTCATAGCGAAGAGCAAAAAAGATACCCCCTCAATGCATTAATGTCAATTTAAATAACTCCACCCACACGCGAATTTAGAATGCAAGGTTCATGGGGGGTTAAAAGTAGGGTAGCTATACTTATAGCCCATATTAGGGGACTTATAACCCTTCTTCTAACTGCCCCTGAACCTCCAAGTAGGGGGTAGCTGAAGTACGGGCAATATTGCCTCGAAGGGCTTGGCAATCGCCGCGGAATACTACGAGCTTATCGTACCATCTCTAGCCTCAGAGCCTTCGAGTCCCTAGGGTATCAGATCCAGGTGCATTGAGTCCAGAACCGAGTTGAAGTACACCTGGGCTTCCTGACGCACATGGCGGCTTGGATCTTCAATCCGATTCCTTCGGGTGTTCCAAGGGTCCTCGAAGCTGCTAGCAGCTGCTAACTGGAAAAAAAAGGCTAAGCCCAAAGCCTATAACCTGGCAGGAACTTCTTGGCAAAATGAGCAGAGCCCCAAGTCCCGGACGTTGTCTCGAGACTTTGCATCGTAAGCCCTGAGCCCCAATTCGTTCACTTAAACCCGGAACCCAGGAAAACCCGAGCGGTAAGCCCTGCAAACCCGAATCTTTGTAAACAAGTCCTGCACCTTAAAACAAAAGGCCTCTAGATCCTGTAAGCCCGAGAAGACCGCTAAAACAACCTCGCGAACCCTCAATCATTGCATTTAAAAAACATTCCATGGCACCCCACCGAGCCCTAGAAACTCTACGTGCCAAAGGCCCTAGGTACTTAACAGACAAGCAGCAAACGCGTAAGGCTCAAACACCTCTCTAGCAACCCCAAGCAAGGCCCTAAACCCAAACGCCGCAAACCTAAAACCCTAAACGTCCCTCACCCTTTGTCTGAGAAGCCCAACACTTCCAAAAACCAAATGCCCCCTAGACCCTAAACCCTAAACCCGACACCCTAAACCCTAAACCCCACACCTCCAAACCCCCCCAAATGCCCCCTTGCCTGGGTGTCCTCAGCGGCCTGCTTCATTGCTATGCCAAAGACGTACAAGACCTTCCCAGAGACTCCCCTTTAAGGGATCTATACTTGGAGGTTCATGGTTAGTTATAAGTACAGTTATCATTAGGATAGCTATACTTCTGACCCATATTAGGGGACTTATGACCCTTCTTATAACAACCCCTGAACCTCCAAGTAAGGGCTGTTATAAGGGATCCCTAAACGTTCTGCTAAGGGATCTATATAGGGTTTAAGGTTTAAGGGGCTCCAAGATCCCTTAAAGGGATATCTGGGGCTCCTGTAAGGGATCCTTCAAAGGGATCTACAGGGTTTAGGAGACTCCGTATCCATTCATTAAACAATTTGGCCATAAATCAGTATAGCATCCCCAATATGATTTAAGGAATATTCGCGATTAAGAGATGCTGGAGTTGCTTGCTCTCTGGACTCCACAGGTTCTCCCAGATTCTCCATTTTATATATCTATGAAGCTATAAATATCGGTTTCACCTGCAGTTCTTTGTAGGAGTTCACAAGTTTCTTCTTCTATGAGTTATATGGGGGTTTCCGAAAATAGGGGACCCTAATATAGTACTCTAAATGCCAGGATCCTCATCGTAGAAGAGCCTAGAATAAGGTGCCCCTGAATTTCGGAAACTCCCATATACGGCGTCTCTGAGTGTTTCTGTAGGCTCTTGCTGGTTTCTTGGTTGCAAGTGGTGTAAGGGTCTATACAAGTTTCTTCTATGATACGTTGTATAGGGTTTCATGAAGCTTTCTTGAGGGTTTTATACGGTTTCGCAGGCTTGTTTAGTCAGGGTTGCATCAGAGATTCTCATGTGTAGTTTTGCGTGGGCTATGTACCTTCTTCTTGGCAGTAGCACTACTTTGTTCAGCTGTCCTTCTGACAAGCATCCTAAAAACTATCGTGGCATTCTCCCCTCGAGTAGGCAGAAGGCATGCGGATCATTTAGGGAACAGTTTGCTGTACATGCGGTTGCAGGTTAAGGGGATTCGGGCTTATGCGAGAAAGAGCGCGTCCGGGCACCCAGATTCCAACCCACGAGGTCGCACTTTATGCAGGGGGCGGAATAATGAGCAGCAATAAACCCCTATAGTTTCTATATGATTATAGTATAATGGAGCCCTGCTCCAACCATCAGGGCCCCTAAACAACGATAGAACCCGTTTGAACTCCCTGTGCCAACTCTTGGAGTAAGTAATCCTTTTAGAAGCCTTTGAAGAACCCTCAAGGGAACCTTTCCAGCAGAGCTGCTCTGCTTATTCAAGTCCCTCCCAGAAATTCTAAAGTAGCTTTATGGTAGAATGTAGGGCTTCTATATTTGGGGATGTATCCTCCATAACACCCCTTAGGGCCTGTATTGCAATCACTTCGAGCAATACTAGGCTCCTACATGGGAGTTTCCGAAAATTGTGGGTACCTTATTTTGGGATCCTTATAATCAGGATCCCACTACTTAGAGTACTATGTTAGGTCTCCTATTTTCGGAAACTCCCACATGGCGCTGGAGTCATGTCCCGGAAAATCTGAGAGTTTTGGGTTTAGAATATGGGTCTGTGGTTCAGGGTTTAGGCCTGGGCGTAGAGGCTTTACGTTTTAGGGGACAATCAAGGCGACTCTTAAGGCCGTCAGGCAAAATCCTATATAAATATAAATATAAATAAATAAATAATAAGTAAATATATATATATATATATATACACATATACACATATAATATAGTATACATATATATATATATATATATATATATATATATATTCTACATATTTCGTTTGCAGCCGCGGCGCAGCAAATATCAACACACCGGTCGTCAGCATAGACCGCGCTGCAGCAATCCTCATGCATGCCGACGTTTCTGATGCTTCTAAGCATGCACCTCAATTACTTACATCAGAATCAACAATCAGTTGCGCATAGCCTGACAACAATCTTTATCGCCTTCACTGCCAATTGCGGGTAAAGCGAATGCTTGAGTATCGTACGTACTGGCGAGCATGGGTTCGGCGGAGATCTACATGCCCCGGCCAACAAACAAGTTATCCCAAGATGAACATGTCAGAAACTTGCAGGCAAGGCTCATGCCCTTGACCATGATGAGCAGCTCCGGCGCAGCTCTTAAGAGTCTTGCGGTCCTGATCTATGAACTGCACATGCACCCCTTTCGCATGCTGGGTGGGGAAGGTGGAGAGGCGGCAGAGATGGGGACTTTTTCCTGATGTGTCTTGTCATTCGGACCCGCAAATGCAGATCCCTAGTTCGAGACACCTCCATAAAGGAGTCGCCCGGACACCTCAACCCACGACGGTTCCAGGTACACCCCAAGCGCCTCGCTAAGCGAGATAGTCGCAGCAGTCGGATAAGCCGCAGTGAGCTGCTGTTTCCCAAAGACGCATCCTCCCAGGTACCAGGGTGTGGGGTTTCACAAGCAGCAACTCAAAGCCTATGATGCGTTCGTAGCAGCCCAACAAGCTGCAAGCCTGGGCATTTCCTACGGAATGTCGAGTCAACTTCGAAGGGGCTTCTATCGGACTCGGACTTGGCAATGGCTCTCTGCGTCACGGGCCTCAGACTTCGTCAGGATGAGGACCTTGGACATTTTGGGTACGATGCTTAGATGCCAGAATCCTTATAGTTTCATCATGACAGTGACTATCAGGGGTCTTAACCATACTTCTCATATCTCCCTGAGTGTTTCCAGGGAGATTGGCTGGTTGAACGCTACGCTGTGGCCTATGGGAGCTTCCGACAATGGGGGACCCTTCTAATATAGCACCTTTAAAGGATCCATTTAAAGGTAACCCTAATTTTCAGAAACTCTTTTATAGCTTTTTAGGACATCAGCCTTGCGCTCGCGAATGTCTGACCTGCTTCGATGCGTAGCGTCTTCGGATAGTAGGCCCTAGGGCTCCAGTTACCTATATTATAGTAGGTTACTAACCATATATATATATATGTATATATATATATATATATCATATACCCCAGTAGCCTACTTTTTGGGTAATTGGAGCCCTAGGGAGGGTTTAGTTTTCTTTAGGGCCTTTTTGGGACCGTGCAGCGGGTTTTAGGGCTTAGGAGGGAGGGTTTAGCGGGCATCGCAGTTTCTGTTTTCAAGTGCTTAATGGCTGTACTTGAAGGATCATGGGACTTGGTAACTAAGGTTTATTATTAGGGCAACTATATTTATAGTTACTTATACCCCCCAATCAAGGTACTTATAACCATACTTACTAAGTCCCGTGACCCTCCAAGTAGGCGGCTATAAGTAATGCCAGTTGCGCAAATCAAGGCCAGTTCCCACAACGGCGTCCACAGGCTCGTGTCAGGTTGGCTGCAGTCAAGCTAAAACATTTCTGGTTCAGTGGGCCCGATAGCTCAATCCCTGGGCGTACCCAAAGGCCCCAAAGTAGTTCGTAATCGATAAGGTAATCTCAACAAGGAACTACTTTGGGGCCTTTGGGTAGGCTGAAAATCCAACACCGTCACCTCGAACTCATTTTCTTGAGACAGCTCTCATTAACGGTAAAGCAAGCATGTGAGGTCAGTCAACAGCTGGTCGGCCCTTCCGCGAGCGTCAAGGTTGGTTGAACCTTGTCGCGGCCCCCCGTCTTCCCGAAAGCTGAGCAAAGGACGATGCTCATCACCCACACCTGCCAGCATTGGACACCACTACGACAGACACAAACGACCACTTAAACCACAGCCCAGGGTTGAGAGTGTTTAGTCCAGTTTAGGGCTTCCGAACCGCAAATCCAAACAGCCCCTGCAGCGATTTCGGAAATAGGTTCCTGCAGAGCCAAATCCAATGCCAATCCAACGCCAGTCTTGTTAGTGAAGCCTCCGACTCTTCGAAACAACCTCGCCGCTGAACCCCACTTCCCCAATCTCTAGACATGCCATTGTGTCCAATCCCAAAACGTCCTAAGACACTCCTGGTCCCCGTCCCCTCCCTCACTGACGTCATGGCCATCATCGGCATCATCATCCGAAGTCTCACCATGAGTTTTATCCTACAGCCTTGTCACCCTCCACATTCGGTGTCGGAAGCTTGTGGGTGTATTGCATCGACTCGGGGTTCGCATATGGTTCTGGTTCTTGGACTTGGGACGTTTGAGGTTGGTCCGACGAATCTCGGCCCAAACCCTGTAACGGCTGTCCCCCTCTACTTCCCTCACGAACCATCCGGCATGTTGCATGTCATACTGACAATTCCAACATAGGCCTCTGCCACACCCATGGTGACGAGCAGGAAGTCAAACATAAACCAGCCTGAGTCGCACTTGCAAATGTGATACTACAATATACCATATAAGACAGCACAACATACGGTATGACATTGTGACATACTATAAATACCATAACATACGATACCATACGATACTAAACTGTACTACACTGCTATATCATACAGAATAATCGAATATGGTATAGTGCTTCTGAGGTCGGGGATGCCATTCGGCTTCTCATAGACGAGCCTTGAAGAAATTCCCTATCATGCCCGTCCCCGGCCCGGTCTCGGTTTCGGGTTCTAATTGAAGCAGCTCAGTCGCCATCGGTGCAGGCACTCCGTTTTCGACGAAATGCCTGGCTCAGAAAGAACTGAAAGCAGGCTGGCTCTCAGTGGTCTTGCTGCTCTATTCCATGGCAGATGGTCCATGTGCTCAAGCCGGGGAATATTCTGTGGGTCCTGGTAGGCAGCAAAGGCTTTGCACAGGAAGTGAGGGAGTAGAACATTTCATCCACTCAATCGGGGCTCTCAGATTTCTGTCTCGCAGGAAGTTATAGGAAGCGTGCAGATGGAAGTTCGAGGGTGAACGATCGGAGTCCTGCTAACTTGATCATACATAGGACAGCACCTTTAATCATGATGGTCGCAAAAATGGCAACCGAATTCAAAAACAAAGCGGATGGCAAAGGAAACAAGAAGTCGAAGCGAGCACGCTTGGATCTCAGATGAGAGTGCCTCAGAGCTCCTAAAAGCCATATCTAAAACACCGTTTCAAGTCTAGGGGGCGGGTTTCGTGAACTCTATCTATCGTGTTCAAACTTTCAGTGAAAGGTCGATTGCTTCAGTCAAGAACCCAGAATTCCTAAATACGCACAAGCACAAACCCAAACACACACACACACACACCACACACACACACACGCGCGCGCACACACACACACACACACACACACTCACTCACTCACTCACTCACTCACTCACTCACTCACTCACACACACACACACACACTCACACACACACGCACACACACACACACGCACGTTGACCTAAACCTCAGTACCCCAGGCCGGAGATCCTCCATCTGGAAACACCGATCCCATCAGACGTAGATATCCCAAGTTCCGGCATCCAGTCCTAGTGTGAGACCCTGTTATACTATGCTCATTCCTTTATCCCAATACTCTAAGCCCCTAACTCCTAACCCTATACCCTAAACCCCTAAATCCTAACCCTATACCCTAAACCCCTAAATCCTAACCCTATACCCTAAACCCGTAAATCCGAACCCTAGGCCCTATACCCTAAACCCCTAAACAAGCAATATTTCGCTCCCCGGTCCCCTGGGTCAGTCTGCTTCAGCAAAGGTGCCAGGAAGCGGACCAAAAGCTCGAAGAAGAAGTAAAAGCAAAACCTTTTTGGGTTGGGGGTTTAGGGGTTTAGGGGTTTAGGGTTTAGGGTTTCTGGGAAGGAGACGGCGTTCGATTTTGGTGCCCGGGACCCCGTAAACCCTAAACCCTAAATGTTGGGTGTGGGGATTCGCGTTCAGATTAGATGCGGTCGGAAATGACGAGCTGGCCAAAGTATCGTAGACGCTGCTTGAATTGAGCCACTTCATCTAACTGACGCTGGATTCAGCGGATCTTCCAACTCTCGACGAAAAACTGGGATGATTATTTGAGTTCGAGTGCTCCCGTGCGCACATCTCCACACAAGCAGCTGTGACGGCTTCAGCACATCATGTCACACCCTAAACCTTACACCCTGATGTCAAGGTCTAGTGGCAAATGTTCGACGACTTGGTATTGGATCTCAGCCTTCACCAGGGTCGTCGCATTGTTCGTGTCCTGGAGGTCAGCAGCTTTCCGGAACCAACACCCACTGCACGGCAACACCCGCCATCCTAAGCCTAAGACTCCACTGTTTCCTTACTTCGGCTTCTGAACCATTGAAGTCCTTGCGCGCTGGCTATGAATACTACCGGCTTTGGGCTAGCTCGTGGACCGCCAAAAGCCAGGCTGATAGTCCGGAATTGCAAGAATCAAAGGGGAAAAGGAGGGACCCTTAATGGGGACCCCTACCATATAATTGGCTATATAATGGGTATATAATAACTATATTAAGGGTATATACCTAGGGGTCCTTATTAAGGGTCCCTCCTTTTACCCTTGGAAAGAAGGGTTCTGAGTGGCCTGGGGAGGAAGCAGCGTTTTAGTGCCTTGCGACAGACAGCTTGGCCAGAAGCTGTAAAAGCTGCATCACACTCCCTTGAATCCTAGCTCAGAAATACACCCTACTTGCAAGTCCTTTCAGTCAGAGACCATACTCTGACATAATCTAGGAGAAGATCAGATGACATAGTACAATATCGTAGAATATAGAATAATACAGTATGATATACTATAATATAGTGCGTATAATCGTAGAATACATTTTGATATAGTATAGCGAAACATAATATAATATGATATGGGTAATTGTCAAAATTAGGGTCCCCTTTTGGGTACCCTAAATATTAGGTGCCGTATTATTATAAGGACCTTAAAAGGGACCCTAATATTGTCAACCACCCATATGATACAATGCCCCTTGGAAACCTTGAGTCGTTTACCGTCCTTCAGCAAGATTTTCCCCGAAGGGCTTGTAGGGCGTGACAGGTTCCCTTAGGCTCCATGTGCCCATATAGTATATACCTAGGGCTTACAGCACCCCTTTAAGGCCTAAGAGTATACTACATGTGCATGGAGCCTTAGGGTTTCCTAAACCCTAAACCCTAAACCCTTAAACCCCTAAACCCCGGAGTTCATGGTTTGGGCAGAAGGCCCAAGTTCAAATATCAGGTGCAGCCATGGCACGGCATCGTAGGCAAGCCATGCTGCATAGAGCAGAATTGCTGCCAGCGTGGTGTTCTGAAATGAAACCTAGGCCGTCCAGTGCAGTCACCAGAAACATCTGACTCTCAGAAACAATATTCTTACTACCTAAAATATGAAGACTAACAAATACCAACTGAATTAGAATTAATCCAATATATCATATCTGCTGTTGTTCATTCTGGCTACCAGAGGGGTGCTTGCAAGAGCACCCTAATCCGTTCCAACAGAATTGGGTTGAGGACCGTGTGACGAGGGCACGTAGAATTGCTTTCAGCTTTGTCACAAAAACCCTATCTCCATGACGACCCGTTCGCACCGCAGCAATTTAGGGTTTGGCTTTGGGACGAGCGTCCACCAAGGTTCCACGACGAAATACTGAACATGCCGACTCGGAAGTACTTGGAGGTGCACTCATCATAGCTTATAAACTTAGTGCAACCAACTTACAACACAGTTATGAAGGAACGCAGAACTTGATTGTCCACAAAAGTGAGCACTTCTTTCACAACTCGTGACATCATGTTCGACCAGGATCTGCAAATTGGCCCTGAAACCAACCTGTAGCCCCAAAGCCTACCTCATGGTAGGTTGTGACCCTTCTTTTAAAGTACAACCCTTAAAACAGTAGGTTTCTGGATCTTCAGGTAACCCCTATCGAGGCATGTTCCGCGAGTAAGAGCCTGATCTACCACCGATCCACCCATGCACCCTCTCTCGGCAGGGGCCATCCCGACATTCCCACAGGTCTGACGCAAGGTTTCCGCCGGAATCCTTACGCTCTCAATTCTGCATCCCATGTTTTCTGAAAATCAGAATCACGCCCAAGGGCACTCCGAGCCAGCCTCTGTGAGAAGCCGGTGTCCCAGTAGAGGGACTCCACGTCGTAGACCTCGTCGCCTCGCATGGTGTCAGGATTGGGGTTTAGGATTTAGGGGTTTAGGGTTTAGGGTTTAAGGTTCCTGGTCCGGCTTTAACGGTTTAGGAAGCTCAGGGCTTATACGGTTTGGGCGTATATGCAATGTCATTATAATATAAGCATAGTTGGCACCTGCCGAGTTTGGCCGGGATTCGGGATGTCTTGTGGGCACGGTCAAGAGGGATGCGGCCTGGTTGCAGCATGTTGCAGCTGTGGCGATGCTTGAGTAATATGGGGGCCTCAAAAATTAGAATAGAATTCCTTAAAGGGTTCAGCCTTAAACCCCGAGTCCTGAATCCTAAACCAGCAATTACCATCTAAACCCTAGAAACCTGAAGAAAACCTGAAATCCTAAAACCCGAAAGCCTAATCCTCGAAGCCCTGAGCCCCAAGATCCACGAGCCTTTAAAAACCCTGATGCTCTGACTAAGGGGCCTGCAAATCGATTGCATTGCCACTGTAGCACTGTAGTGAGACTACGCTAGACACCCCAAAACCCTCTTCTCTTTATCCAGGCCCCTACATCATACAACCCTGAAAGAACCCTGATGAGAGTAACTCTCCCAAGGAACTTCATCTTTCTTACTAAGGCCCCGTATTAACCCTTAGAAGAACGGCCGCACCCTCATGGATGGCTCGGTCGACCCGCTTCTTAAGCTCCTGGCTGAGTAACTTGGGGACTGCTTGAACCTAGTGGGTCTACGGTATAGGTTTTAGGAATACTGATCCAACGGATTCTGGGTAAAGTTTTGAGGAGGGGCTGCAAGCGCTCAGCGTTTGGGGTTTCAGGAAGGCTTAAAATTTGAAGTTGGGAGCTCTGGAGTTTGGAAGTTTGGTGGCTTTAGGCTTACCTTCGGTTAGTAGGGAATGGAGGAATGGGGTACACTTATAACTACTACGGTTGATGATATACATTCTGTATTACCTTAAGGACCCTAAACTATGGGAACTATGGTATACTCCATATTATGGGTAATGCAAGATTTATATCAATGAATCATCAACCGTATTACTACCATTCTTCCATTCCCTCACAACACAGTACTCAGCCCTACTTGGAGGTTCAGGGGTGGTTATAGGTAGGTTATAAGTCCCCTAATATGGGTTATAAGTATAGTTTCACTACTTAGAACCCTACTTATAACTACCAATGAACCTCCAAGTACTCCACCCAAACCCCCAACCCCAAGCAAAAACCCACGCCGGAAATCGAGGCCGAAACTCTCACTCCTCGGGATGGTCAAACACCGTCTTTGGGCGCTGATGCAACATGCCAGCCTTGGGGGGAAAGCGACTTAGGGTTCAAGGTTTGTGGCGTAAAGTAACCGTAATGGAAAGACAAAACAATATTAACACCGATAGCAATATGAGAACTGTTCTTGTTGATATTAAAATCAATCATAACATCAACAAAAATACGAAATAAAAAGCATCACTACATCGTATCAATGATAACAACAATGTTAGTAATAATAGTCAAAGTAGTAGTTAAAATATTACTATCATTGGTACTAACAAAAATAAAACTGATGATCATAGTAATAACAGTAGTTCCAACACTAATAGTAGTATAGGAAAGTTTCGAGCTACACGAGTATTATCTAACATACAGGCTCCTGCCCAGTAGCGGAGTGCCTCAAAGTGTCGTTTCCCTTACGCAGGCTAGCGGAGTATATAGTTTCTACCACGTTTCAAAACACTGATTTGGTTTAGAAGCTGCCCCTACCCTGTAATAGTGGTATAATAGGAATATAATAGGGCCCTAATACAATCCTTATAGTCACTATTACAGGGTGGGGGCAGCTTCTAAGATTTGGTTTAGTTCCGCAGGCCCAGGGCTCCTTTGTCTAGGAGCCTATGGGGAAGAGGGCGTGGGACTCGGTGTTCCAGCTTGTTCAAGCTAGTGGGTGGAACTATCGGCCCGGGGCAGTAAGAATAACAGCAACTGTAGTAATGCATAAAAATGCCAGCAATTCCAGTACGACTGAGATACTAACACTACAGAAAAAAGCAAATTACTAATACTACTGATTTTTTCTACTACAACTACTACTACTACAACTACTACTACAATAACAACAACAATTGCTATAATACATGAAAATAATAAGGGTAACAACCAATACTAGTAAATATAAACATTAATAGTAGTAACAGCAATAACAATAAAAATGATAGCATGCATAGCAATATCAATCATACCATGAACATGCTTAGAATAGTAGCAATAGTAGCGACCTTAGTACCTAAAAGGGTTTCAGTTACTACCTATTAACTATTTGTCACTAGGCAACCACAGCTAAGCAGGAACGTTCCCGAAAGCAATTCAATGTTGGGCCTTCGAACGACTTCATGTAACTCTTGGAAGTACGGGCGTTCTTCTGGGACCCTGGCAATCGTCCGTGTGGCCACAGCTGCCCGTGTGAGGAGAGAGCTGGGAGTGTGCGACCTGTCGAGGATGCATCCTTGTTACTGTGGTGTATGCGACGTTTCTACTAGGTGATTGTTGGGCTGAGGGTCAACACCAGCGAGCGGTTCTTTTTTTTCAGGAGCTGTGTTGGCATCTTGCTAGTAGAGATGACTGGGCCTCACTTGCTCAGCCCCTCCAACTTTAGCAGCCTGGGGCTGGATACTACCTCAGTACAGCAGTACGGCTTCCGGAAAAGCGTTTAGAACTGAACTGGCTGTTCAGTTTCTGAACTCGACAACTCCTTAACTTCACCAACATCAACCGGGACTTTGAGTTAGAGCACAGTTCAGAGGTGCCCTGAGTCCTTCACTCACTCTGCAGAGGCCTGTAGAAGAAACATGAGGAAGCCGTAAAGGATCTACATCATCTAGCATGACATATAGTCTCCATTGCAGTTCCCTTGTGGGGTGGCCTTCTACATGTAGAATGCGCTAAACCCAAAAAGGAGCTGCCATAGATTCTAGGTATATACCCGTGCGACATAGAGCTACACAGCACAGCGAAGACATTGCCAGCTTCGGGCTTCTTCCCTCGATCATACATACTTAGGCCTTGAAAGGGTCCCTACTCTTGTATGTATATATATATATATATATACACATCCTCTCCCTCTGTCTCTCTCTCTGTATATATATATATATATATATGTATATTCCTAGGACTTAAACCCCTTTAACACTTAATGGAACCCTTCCCAAACCTTCCAATGCCAAAGATTGAAGCCCCAAAGACTCGAACCCCCGACCAAGCACCCGGCCGGGTCCATACCTGGCTGCTTGGACTTTTCTGGCTCCTGGCAGTCGAAGGTGTTTTAGTGGCGAGGGGCTAGCGGCTAGCGGGGTGGCAGTCGGCGTAGGACTTTGAGTTTAGATCTGTTTGAAAACACCTCGAATTCGAGGCATAGGATGGTCTACACAGGCTTCTTTTATTGCTCTCTGACAGCGCAAAACTACGAATACTTACTGCTACTACTATCACAACGACGACGACCACTACCCCTACTACTGCTACTACTACGACGACGACGAATACTACCGACAACGACGACTACACCCGGTACTTTCTACAACTACTGCTACTGCGATCATGACTGCAACCACTGCAGCTGCCGCTGCCGCTGCTACTACTAGTACTACTACCCTCCCCCTCCTACTACTGCTACTACTGCTACTTCTACCTACTGCTGCTACTTTTGCTTCTATTACTAGCCAGAAGTACTACTGCGACGACTCCTGCTGCTGCTTCTGCAGCTGCTACTACGACGACGGCACGCCGCTACCACCACATGCAACAACTACTGACACATGTGGTTAGAGTTCACCACGCCGCCACCCAAAAGGGCTAGCATTTCAGATGTTCCTTGCCATTGTGGCACACGTAGGCCTTAAAGTGCCTATATAGGGATCCCTTTAAGGCACAAGTATCTACTCTAAAGGTACATGGAGGCCTTGAGATCGTGGCGGGCCTCTTCGAGTCACTGATCTCCTCCACGAAACGCTTGGGCTGTGAGCTCTGCGCAGCCGAGACTTCGGAGGCGCCTTGCCAAACGCCGGGTCCCGTCCAGCGGTTCGGGGTTTAGGCGTTTATGGTTTAGCGGATAGGGGTTTAGGGGTCAAGGGGTTAGGGTTTAGGATTTAGAGGTTGATAGTTTAGGGGCTTAGGGTCCCTCTTACCAAGCGTCCTGTTCAGCACTCAGCTGGTATCACTTTCAGCAAGGGTTGCAAAGAAACGTGAGGCTAAACTTAAAGGTCAGCTGTGCCTCCAATTACGGCTTTTTGTTGGAGGAGCAGTTCTACTCGCTTATGTTTGTCAGAAGAAAAAAGGAACTGTTGAGCAACTTCTGCGTTCATTGCGCATGCTGTCCACGACCTGCGCACGTGGTCCGAATACATCTCGTAGTGAGACGAAAAGCTAACCCAGCATATAATCCGCAAAGATGCAATTCCGAACATGGGCTAAGCCAGGTTTAGTGTAGCTGACATTTCATGGCAATGTTGGGTGCAAACTGCATAGTTCTAGTAGTAGTAGTAGTAGTAGTAGTAGTAGTAGTAGTAGTAGTAGTAGTAGTAGTAGTAGTAGTAGTAGTAGTAGTAGTAGTAGTAGTAGTAGTATGCTAACAGCTAACACTACTGCGATCTACTGCGCCCCGAACATGTAAATTTTGATGGTGTCACGAATCTAGCAGTACTTTTGAGCAACTCGAGGATACAGTGGTTAAAGCCGACGATGGCGACGCTGAGGCGTGCAGACACACGAAACTCCGTCAGCTGATTGAACTAAGAAGTCCCCCAGCTTGCAAATTATGGCCTGTTTGTTGAGGCTTTCAGAGGCCCTTATTGGCATGAGCAAAACTTACATGAAGAGATAGTCCTAAGTTCACAGGCCATCCGGAACTCTCCAACAACGAAGGAGCCTCATTCTTGTATTTTGGCATGGAATAGCAATGCCAGGATCCTTTTTATGAGGACCCCAAGATAAGGCATCCGTAATTTCTTGAAAGACCCGTTTCAAAAACACACACACACACACACACACACACACACACACACAAACTCCGTGTATCCCTACCTTTATAATTCAGAAGCCCCTCATCGGGCCTGCTCCAAATATGGACGGCCGCCGTGGTTGCGCCACTGCAGCCCCAAGCTGTGCGATGGGCAAGCATCGGTTGGCTTAATTTGTAGAAGAGGGTTTTGGGGTATTCTAGTGTCAGAACATAGTGAAAAAGAACTATGCTGGGGTATCATTACAACTTCTTCCGACTCTCGTAAATTAGTGGGGTGATCGGAGTGAGGGTTAGGGGTTTGCTAAGGCAAGGGTTGAGGGTACCAGAGGTGCAGGGTCTACTTAAAGGATCAAGGGACTTAGTGACTAAGGTTATTCTTAGGGTAACTATACCTATAACTACCTGTAACCCCAATTAAGGTACTTATAACCATACTTACTGAGTTCCATGATCCTCCAAGTAGGGTTTGGGCTTATAAGGTCAAGGCTTTCGGGTCTAAGGCCTCACGATGCCTTAGGATTTAGGGTATCCGCGTTTGAAGTTTCACAGGTAGGATTTTGGATGCACGCCTTCCTTCAGAATCCGAGACATGAGATCTGCAAAATTGGGAAAAGAACGGACGTCTCGAGGATTGTCACTGTCATTCCTGTTTGGGGTTGCGGTTTCCGGGTCGAGGGATGCGAGTTTGGATGTTCAGAAAGCACCAAAACCGAAGCCCCTGAATTGAGGAATGCAAGTACCCCCAGCCTTAGATAGATTCAGATAGATGCCAAAACACCTCAGATTGATTAAACAACCTCTGAGGCTCAGTAAAGCAGAAACCACGCAAAACTCGGCCCTAGGATCTCAGCGGCTCAGAGATGATCGGATGGATGGTGTTCGGAATCACCCAACTTGATTCGACATTCCGGGTCCTACTCCCATATCCTACGTGGCCTAAGCCTGAACACGCTCATATCTAGAAGCCCACCTCATAAACCCTAACACCTTCCATCACCTAAACCTACAAAGCCAAAATTCGAAAATCCCAAAGCCTCTCAAGCCTTTTTACTCAATAAACCTAACGATCTCCTATCTGCCCTCCTGCCTCACACTCTCCGGTCTCCTCCAGAATCATTGTGGGGGGAGGCTGCCTAAGATGCAGCCGCCAAGAGTACTTGCACAAGCATCGAGTAGTGTTCAAGGCTTACAGGGCTTAGGCTGGCATCTAAAGCTTTACTGGAGTCTGCTTTGAGACTGCTTAAAAGCAGGGACGACCTTGCAAGTAGGGCGGCCGAACCAAGCTTCGGCCACGTAAAGCATCCAGCGACGTGCGTTTGAGAGTCAATCTGAACGACTAGATGCCAGCCTTGTGGAAGACTGGAACCCAGAGACTCCAATATTCATCAATAAAGGAATTTGAATTGAATTATAGTGAGATCCCGAATAAGATTTAAGGCATATTCCTTAAGGGTATTGGAGTCTCCTAAACCCTAAACCGTATAGATCCCTTTAAGGATCCCTTCTAGATCCCTTGAAGGAAGCCTAGGTATTCCTTAATTAAGGGATATTGGAGTCTCTAAGAAGTCTGAAGCCGTCTAGGCTTGAAGCCTTTTTTTGAGAGCTCAAATGAAACTGAAACCAGACCCTCGAATCCTGGAGGCCTACACCCAGCCGCATGGCCCACACAATCAAAGACTCTAAAAACCTAAACCCTAAACCCCTCAACCCTTAAACCCTAAACCCCTAAACCCTAAAAACCCTGAACGCCTAAACCCCTGAACCCCCAAACCTCCAAACCCCTAAACCTCTAAACCCCTATAAACCCGCGGGCAAGTTACACTTCGAGATCCTTCACGAAGCGCGTCACTTTGGCTGCTTTCGGGCTGTCTGCGAGAGACTCCATGGTCTCTGCAGCTATTGGTTCTAGGGTTTTAGGTTTAGGGGCTTAGGTTCTGGGGTTTAGGTTTTGGTGTTAGGGTGGGTTTGGGCTTTCAGGCTGACTGGGTGCAGGGTTCAGGGTCGGCAACCCAGAGTGGTTGGCGCTGGTTGAAGGATGGCTTGGCTGTGGCAGGGGATTCCCCCCCCACCCTTGTACAGCTCATGAGTGTGGGGTTTGGTTTCTCATTTACGTCCGGTCTTTGGAGACATGCTGAGCTTCTGGGTACTTGGGCACTTCTTGTAAATGCCTAAGCCCGAGGCTTGAGGGTTTTGACAGGCCGCCCGTAGCCATCATCTGGATGTCAAATGGCTGCGGTGCTATCGGCATGACAGCATACATGTAAGGGCCTGAATCATTAGAGTAGGGCCTTGGGGTCCATTATACCATAAGTATAACAAGGAGCCCCACCAAATAGTATTGGCAATTGTTAAGGACACTGCAGTACGTTCGAACTGCACATCTTTCGCAGAAGAATGGCAACTCAGAGCGCGTGTGCTGAAGGCTACCTGGTGGAGTCGGGCACGTGGCGGCATCGTGGGTCATGTTCGGCTAACAAAGGGGCCGTAAGTACCATGTTGCAGGTTCCCTTATTGTGATTATGGTATAATATACCCCCCCCCCCCAAAACACTATTTTATAATCATTAAGGCCCCTATATCAATTATGGCATAACATACCCCAAAACACTATTCTATAATCATTAAGGCCCCTATATCAACCCTGAACCCACCAAGACTCCAATTCCGCTGAACTTTGAAGCTGAACTCTGGTTGCAAGGAGACGTCAGGCTCAAGCACTTCAAGGGATGAGCGGAGCGGAGAGCACCTACTTAAAGGATCATGGGACTTAGAAACTAACGCTATTTTCAGGGTAACTATACTTATATCTATTATAACCCCAATTATAAGGTACTTATAACCTTACTTACTAAGTCCCATGATCCTCCAAGTACAGTCGAAGCAGATCCTTTGTAGTAGCCATCTAGCCATCGATGTAGAGCCAGCAATCCCTAAACCCTAAACCCTAAACCCTGGGAATCTCAAGCGTGGCTGCCCCGTCGTTCTTGGACCCCTGGAGTTCAGTGTCGCCAACCCGCACTTCGAGGATCATGGGACTTAGTAAGGTTATAAGTATCTTAATTGGGGTTATAAGTAGATATAAGTTATAAGTATAGTTACTCTGAAAATAACCTTAGTTACTAAGTCCCTTGATGCTCTAAGCCGAGCTTTGGATGTCGGTTTGCTTCGGCTCCCGGGCACCCCCAAGGGCGCCACGAAAAAGCTGACATCGGAGAGCACGTTGCTCTCCTTGACGGTTTAGGGATTAGAGTTTAGGGTAAGCACAAGTGGGTGCAAGAAGGCTAAAACACATGCTCTGCTATTGTAAGCCGCAGATCATGCCCCGACAACCTTGAAACTTCAAGACCTAATGTTGATGTACGCTCATATGTATACATAGGCATTCGGCCAACTCGCCTATTATATTACGGCACCTATTATTTAGGATGCCCAAACAGGGACCTTAGTTTTGACAACCACCCATCTAGCTTTTGGTGTCCCCTTTGCTATTCTATGTTACCCTTTGAAGACTCAAAGCACGAGCCTGAAAACAGAAACCTAGTGGTAGGACGTTCGGCCGTCACTTCCGCTGTGGTCAAGATATGATACGGAAACTCCAGCGTCGAGGGATTTCGACCAGAATGGATTCGGGTTTTGACTTTAGGTGTGCAAGGTCGGGCAATTGGGGCGTGCATGTCAGAAGGATATAAGGGCCTTAATAATTAGAATAGGGTTTCGGGGCCCATGTATAATTATAAAAAGAAGCCCCCAAAACAGTATAGGTAATTATTACGGCTGCTACATTACATGATTGCGCCACTCTAACACGCAAGGCTGCTCCAAACTCAGAGCTTTCAGAGCTGCTTGCTGCAGAAGCGGCAACGTCCACGAAGTTCTTATTGCATCCAAGGCTTCTCTATGTGGGAGTTTCCGAAAATTAAGGGTACCTTATTTGGGGGTCCTTATAATAAGGATCCTACTATTTAGGGCACTATATATGGGTCCCCTATTTTCGGAAACCTCTATATCGCAAAAGCTCCCCGCCAGTCTGAGTCTGAGCTCCGATACTTCCACTGCCACAGGAGCCACAAAAAAAAAAAACACAACCCTCGCCCCCGAAACCACCAAATCTGACTTCCAGGAAACCTCCATCCTAGGCCTTAATCTCGGGATGACCTGTGTTGCCCACCTCGTCTGAATACAGCGGGGAAGGTCCAACACGAGAGTCCTGCGTTGGGCTTCAGGGTTTACCTGGACCCTACAGCCCTACAGAGCCTGACTCCTTGAGCATGGTCCCAGTATACGCCTAAAAGGTCAAGTGAGAGCACCGGAAAAAGAGGGTACCGCCCAGGCAGGGTGTAGCTCGGTCAGGGTCTGGCTCTTGGGGCTTGTACGGCTGAGGGCTTCTCAAAACCTTGAGAGTGAGTCTGTGCACAAAACCCTAAACCCTAAACCCTAAACCCTAAACCCTAAACCGCACACCCCACGAACTCATGTGCCTCTATGAGGGCTAAGGCTTCGTGTAGGCCTAAGAGCACTGGAGTTAGGCTTCAGGATAATATAGGAACCCGATTAAGAAACCGTGGGGGCCTTTATTGGGGTTCTTTATATGAGCCCTACTATTTGGGGGTTACAGGACCACGGTTTCTTAATCAGGTTCCTACATAGCTTGTTTGGATTTGACATTCTGGAGCTCCAGGGCTTGGAGTTCAATATAAGGGCCTGAACCATGGGGTTTAGGGTTTAGGGTATCGTGGGCCCCTTTTTAGAATTAGAGTAGAATAAACCCCAAAACCCTGTTCTAATCGTAAAGGCCCCTGTATCAGGTTTCTGCCAGGCCTCCTTGGCCGAGACACTCAAAATCCAAACTCCAACATTCACCGACTTCTCTCTGGGGCTTGATTGAATCGTTTTCCCTGGCCCAAACCAGGTGTGGTGAGGTTGAGAACACCAGATGTTTCCAAGTTCTGCATGTCAGTCAATGGCCCTACAACTGAAAATCAACATCCCATTCCCCTTTCCCTGGCCAGAAGGTCAATTCCGAACTCATGCCTTCTCGATGTGGCGACCACAAATTCCTACTACACCAAAATCCTTAACTACATGTCATCCTGAACTGAACGGTCATGCATATCCCCGAGACAGGTGCGGGAGTATGCAATAACAGTAACAGCATCGCTCGAAGAAAGGATTACTGAGGATGCTGACAAGCGACATTGGAGGATTCGCAATTAATACTGTCAGAATATTTTTCACTAGCAGGTGATCTTACGCTCTTGTAGAGCAACTCCCCTCCAAGGCCTCACGTTTCTTTGCGCGCTGCGTAGGGCTGTCTTGGGCCCTGCCCCACCATGCAGTGCTATCGGCACACACGCACACACAGAGTCAGACGTAGCAATAGCAATAGCAGCAACAGTAGCAGTAACATTAGCAGTAACAGTAGCAGTAGCAATGGCAGTACAGCAGCAGCAGCAGGAGTAGTAGTAGGAGTAGTAGTAGTAGTAGTAGCAGCAGCAGCAGTAGTAGTAGTAAGTAGTAGTAGAGGTAGAAGTAGAAGTACTATTCGTCGTAGTAGCATTAACAGCAGCAGCAGGAGTAAGAGTAGGATTTTCAGTAGGAGCAGGAGTAGCAGCGGAAGCAACAGTAGCAGTAGCAGTAAATCGTGGTAGCGGTCGAAGGAGCAGCTCCGCTGCACTTCATGAGTTGAAGTTTGGGACGACGGGCGATGAGCTCATCCGGGTCTCTCAGCCCATCTTGAGATTGCCACAGCTGGGCATACTTAAGACTGAGAGCACCAGGCCCTGAACTCGACGCCCTAAGCAGTTCTCCCTCAAGCGCTCCAGCTAAGGGCTCGGGCTGATCACCGAGGGTATATTCCAACATGGTATTCAGGGTTTAGCTTAGGATTTCGGGAGAAAGCTCCGGCAAAGCTTATAGGCTCTGAGAAGTGTACCCATAAACATTAACAGCTAGAAAGCAAGTAGAGCATGGGCTGCCGTTCGGAGGCCCACTGAGCAGACCTGCCGAACCCACGAGTCCTAAACTCCGAGCGCTATACACTTTAGGACTGCAGCAAACTCTGAAGGCTTCGGAGCCTTGGCGGCGTAACTCCGGCAGAAGACGTGGAAATACGCCTCAGCCGGCTCTGCAGCACGAACCTTCGTATTCTTGTTGGTGGGTATTTTGCACGTCCAGTGCACACCAGGAGTTGCCGCAGGCAGAGTTTTCCCTTTGGCATGTGAACGGATGCGCGAAGTGTGGACATGATGAAGCGAAGACAAAGCTTTGAGCACACCTTTCGAATCACAACGCCGAGACACACTCGAGTACCACAGTTGCATCTACCGGTCAAATCTAAGCAACAGAACCCGCAAGCTAGTTGTCAAGCTTGCTGTATTGGCTTCACGCTCCGGATGCTGGAGACCCTGAAAGCAACACTTTTCACCCTATTTGCAGCGTTCGACACCTGGCCTGGCAGCCAGGAATCGCGACAGAGCGCTCGAATCTGCAGGCAATGTGACAGGGCATGGGATTCTGCAAAGCTCCGATCCCTACAGTTCTTCTGGGTTACTCTACTCCTGCAAACTATATCGAAGTATCATGTCCTGAACCAGAACCATTTCTCTCTGCATATCCACATGGCGATGATCGTAATGAGCCATGATCATGAATCTTTAGCAGTCGAGGCAACTTGCCAGCAGCTTCGCGGTTGATGAAAACCAATGTCGCCAGGCTGACCGATTCCCTAGTGACTACTTGGAGGTTCAGGGGTAGTTACAAGTAGGGTTATAAGTCCCCTAATATGGGTTATAAGTATAGTTACCCTACTTATAACTAACCCTGAACCTCCAAGTAATTAAAAACTGACTGGTGAGAGGACAAAGAGAACATAGCGGTCGCCCGAGGCCATGCCTGTCGAATGGACGTCATCGATCTCCTTCACTGCACGGCAAAGCGCCACAGCATAAGGACAGTGGCCCGAAAACTTCAAACCTCGTGGGGAATCCCAAGCACAAGCCCTACATGACATCCCTGGGACTCGAAGGTGTGAGCATTAGTGGCAAACTTCGATCGACAAGACGCCGCAGAAGCAAAGGCTGCGCAGCATCGAGGCACACAGATCCCGCCCAGAAAGGCCCGGTTTTGAGGCTCAACACACCTTCACGAACTGAATGACTAATTGTCTGCCTGAAATTTGCTACTCCGAAAGATCCGGCTGCAGTCCTTCTTGCTGCTGCGGCTCACGACGCTTGCCGTGTCCGGTGTGTCCTTGGCACGGCGAGGGTGTCGAAATCCGAGCTTCAGGCTACTCGCAGTGCGAGCAGACTCAGATGGCCTGACAGCAAACAGCTTAGAGACGCACCCAAGTTCCAAAGCTAGGAAAATCTGATGCTTGCGAGACCAGCCGGGTACCGACCATCGCGCTGAATGGCAAAATGTGGAAGTTAATACGCGGGCCTGAACAGTGAGTAATCGTCTCCCTTAGACTACAATCCCCCCAAACCGCCCCAAACCCAGTTCTGCCTAGTAAGGCCCAAGTGCTTTGAACCAATTCAGCGACCTCGCGCGTCTGCCCATCTTTGACCAGAGCCTCCAAAACCCCTTAATTAAGGAATATACCTTAAATTATAATAGGATCCCTTATATGAATTAAGGTATGTTCCTTAATTAAGGGGTTTTGGAGTCTTTGACCAAGATTTATGGAAAGCTCTACAATAGCGAGCCAACCAAATCTGGCCGCGACGGTTCTAAGATAAAAATCCAAGGGTAAAAGGAGGGGGACCCTTAATAAGGACCCCTAGGTATATACCCTTAATATAGTTATTATATACCCATTATATAGCCCATTATAGGGTAAGGGTCCCCATTAAGGGTCCCTCCTTTTCCCCTTTGAGGATCAAGTTTCAACCCATCCGAGAGCATGAGCCGGCACCGCAACGACCACAATGCGGATAAGTTTGCATCCTCCTGTAACCCTACCTGCAGTCTCCATTGCAGTTCCTTCTTTTTTGGGTTAACCAGCCTAATGATTACTGTAGGATCCTATAACAGACACTTTGGTTAACCAACAAAAGGAACTACAATGCAGACTATAGTTAAACCCTAAACCCTGAAGCTTGAACACCCCACAAGCATGGTTCTGTGGCGGGGGCTGGCATCACAGCAGTCTTCGCCCTCTGTGCGACGTCTCCTGCAGTCGGTGGACAGCTCGTGAAAACTTCTGAATCAACAGTCTCTGGCGATAGGTCTTGCCAATGGCTGGCATCAGCCCCAACGAGGTGCCCTTTCTCGGTAGTGAGGAGTACAACATTCAGGAATCTAGGTTTGATGGTGTTTTGCGGTTGATGCAATCAGGCCGACACGGTCTATTTCCGCGCGAGGGCAAACAACTTCTTCAAAATCGACTGGGGAGGCTGGAGCCATCTCCGACGAGTTGCTCCTCATCAGTTGATCTCCCCAAACCTCGTCAAGGAGCACAGTGCACACCTCACGAAGCTCAGATGTTTTCAACAGAGTTGCCGTGTTGTGTAAAGGGTTCACCGGATCCGGGAGCACTGCCCCCTGAGACCACTCCCGCCGACCACGCCAGTAGCCTTCCACTGCGCTGCTGCTGATACCCATCCGTGCCGCCTCAGAACATCTGTGGAAGACAAACTCTGTATCGAGATCCCGCAATTGCTCGAAAATGTGCTGTAGGCCTTGATCGAAGTCCACTGTACAGGTTTGGGATACATAGTCCAGTGCCAAGATTTCCAGCACGTAAGACGGGAGGTAGGTAGCAGCAGCATCCATGAACCGAACCTTCAAAGCTTTGGCGAGCTGGATAAGTGACCGCACCCGAGGTTGCGCTTGACGCACCAGGCGCACCTGGTCTTGAACGACACTCGTGGAAGTCTCGCGCAGTAGGTCAAAGTCATTGAGATGTCTGCTGCGCTTCCTCTTGCCCGTCCATTGCGTTTGGAACTGCCTTCGGTCATCGAACACTCTCAAGCCAGAGTCGGCAGAAATGGCGAAGGTGAAGAGAAGATCGACGTCGACCCTTGTGCTCGGGTGCGTAAACTGCACACTATGTCGTGTAAGCCGAACATTGTCTTGGCCGAGTTTCCACATCTGGCCAATGCTTTGGCGGAACGAGTGGAGACAGTCCTCTCGAGTCCATTCACCAGCAAGAAACACAACCACATCAACCTCTAGATGCCCGCGGAGTAGTGTGTTTTTGGCATAGGAACCACCAATAACAATTTCCTGCACTGCCGTGGCGTGGGTCCAGTTGTTGGTCAAAACATTTCGCAGTGAGGCCACTGCAGCTTCAATGCGAGCGTTGTCATCCTCCGTCGGTTCAATTTGCTTCAACACCTCTTCCCATGTCGCAACATTCCAGTCTACCTGCATCGTGGACAACTTCTCGTGCCTTACCTATCTGAGTCGGCTGCGAAAAACCAGCCTCAGCATTTGCAGCTTAACCCCTACAGCAGGCTACACCCCAATACTCTACATTGGATGTCTACCCTAGGGTTTAGAGGCTCTAGGGCCTAGGGTCTCGTTCCTTAGGGACTAGGGGCTGCCACGTTCACGGACGCTCCGGACTGTTCCTCACGTGCAGAGTCTGATGAATCAAGGGCTTCAAGGACTGCACTCGGAGGCTCAACGACTAATACGACACGGACACCGATGTGAAGAACTAGTTCTAGTAGGATTCGGATCATGAGGACCTCACGTAGCCAAATGGAATCCTTTAATTCTGAGACCTTTCGCATCCACACAACGCACCTGCGAATACAATGCACCATGTTTGCCAGGAGAAAACTTACCCATGGAATTGCCACAATGCCATACATCTCACTGTCATCCGTCCTGCCTGAAAGCCCTCAAACCCAAGTTGTGAACATTGATTGACATGAAACTCCAGCCTGAGGATTTGCGAGGCTCCAGGCTACAATTTACCTACAACTCAGACCCTATGAACCTTAAACCATGCCTTAACCCTGAAGAACCTACCTTTTTAAGGACTTATATAAGGAAATCATAATAGGGAACCCTAAAACGGTAGGTTATTCAGGGTTAAGGTGAATCCTAAACGAAGCTGGCCGTCCTGTGTCTTCAGCGTCTCGGGTCTTAGCAGGCCGGGCCTGGGTGGAATGGCCAAAGACGCGACGAACCCCCAAGGCCCACCTGGACCCTAAGGAACCTACCTTTTCCGTGTTCCCTAACTACTATTTGCTTAAGAATCCCGAAAAATGGAAAATAATAATCCCTATATTACCCCTATAAGGGATACATTTTTTATTTTTGGGGGGTTCTTAAGCAAATAGTAGCTAATATGATTTTTTTATATGTCCTTAAAACGGTAGGTTACGTGGGGTTAAGGGAGCAAGACAGCACCGTAACATAGCAGCAGAAGCCAGAAAGTTGGAATATCATTATCGTAACCCCTTTAAGGTAAATTATAGGGGATCCTACCGTTAATCCATATTCCAACTTTCTGGAGTTCCCTTTAGCAGGGTATGCTTTGAGTACGGCCTCCATAGAGTAAGAGTCAGACGTCTACAATAGGGCTACTACAGTATTAGGCATCTACATTATGAATACTTTTGTCAACTATGACTGAGTGGGGGCGATACCCAAGGTATTCTCTAATACAGTTTTGTAGGGATGACAACGGAACAACTTCCTATTAATCTACGACAGTCTAGGGCCATTGAAGCCGTTTCCAGGCGTCCCCCACCAAGGCTCCAACAACCCAAGCAGCGAAAACCAAAAGCAATGCACGACAACCTACAGAATGATCAGCATCACCAAAAGCACAACAACAACCACGAAACGAAGACGACGACCACAACAACAGCAACAACTCACAGCAGCACCAGCACAGCAGCATAGCAGAACAGAGGCACAGCAGCACAGCTGCAGCAGCAGCACAGCAGCACAGCAGCACAGCAGCAGCAGCAGCAGCAGCAGCAGCAGCAGCAGCAGCAGCAGCACAACCATAACCATAACCATAGCGACAACCACAATGACAACCACAACCACAATGAACATCTGCCAGCGCAACCTCCTACAGACCCGAGGTTCAAACCCCAACCCCAGCACTGGGCTCAGCTGCAGAGATCTCATCGCTCTCCGGCCTCCACGGAGCGAGGATGCAGGTGGAAGGCTGGGGATTCTCTCTTTTATTTTAGTTTCTAGGATTTAAACTATAAGAATAATCATATAAGAGATCATGAAGAAATATAGTAAAACACCACTCTAATTATAAGGGCTCCGTTTCGGTCCGCATGCTTGGCGAAAGCCCGTTTTGGGCGAGCTGGTCACCTATGGTTTTCGCGTTTAGGGTATTTTTAGCCCCCTTTCTCTCGGGTTCGGGGTATAGGGTTTAGGGTTTGTGGGAATATGTGGTGCCAGATACTGCCAGTGTACGGGTCTAAATCTAGGGCTCTCAGAAGGTCCACGTACCAATATGGTAGCCACTTAATAGACTACACTATTTCTTAGGATTAAGACTTTAGGGCTTTAGGGTCCGCGACGAGGGCCTACAGCAGGGATTTTGAAGATCTGGTAAGCCCGAGTTTACGAGTCGGTGGATGTAGGTTTCAGGTCCATGCGCTTGGGAGCCCCCTGGAAACATGCCTACGGCTTAGGCTTTAGGGGTAGCTTTGTGTTTCAAGGGGGGCGCGGTACGGTTGATGACATAAATCCTGCATTACCCATAATAAGGAACATACCATAATTCCCGTACTTTAGGGTTCTTAAGGTAATGCAGGATTTATATCATCAACAGTATGACAAGATGACTGTGCCAACTTTCAGACGGTTCCAGCTCTCTTCAGTAGAAGCTCCGAGCGGAAAGTCGCTGCACTTATGCCTTTGGTTAGTAAGGAATGGTAGGGTTCCCTTTAAGGGGGTCTATAAGGGTTACTAGGGATCTATACTTACCTTTGGGTAGTAGGGAATGGAGGAATGGGGTACAACTATAACTACTATTACTACCATAATACTACCATATTACTATCATATTACTACAATATTACTACAATACTACTACTATATAACTACTATTGCTACAATTCTTCCATTCCCTAGTAACTACAGGTAAGTACAGGGCGCCACCAGAGCCCGATGCCCAACAGTTAATGAAAAACCTGCTAGGGGGAGGGGTTCTTCAATACGGGGCCTCTTTGTAAGGTGTGCGACTATGGAGTCGCCCTTTTCATCTTCGGGTCCAGAGAGGGACCCTGGTTTAGGGTTTAGGGGATTTACAGAAGTACCAAAAAGCACCCGGATAGTCGCAACGAAGCCCGGTAGAGTGTGGAATTCGAGTCCCCCCTCGGCCAGTGGCAAACACATTCCGAACCACCTGGCACACACAGACAACTCGAACAGAAAACTCATGCTCCAACTGCCTCCCCAACATGGCTAGACCAAAACTGACGAATCATCAGTGGATGATGCGGCGGCAAGTAACCACCACCCCCACTTTCTGAACCACCCCGAAGAATACCCTCAGGGTACCCTTGTAGTACCCGTTGTGGTAGCCCCTACACATCCTTCAACCCCCTACACTACACCAACCCCAAGCCTCGGACTTCGTAGCCTGAACCCTAGAAAGCTTGCAATTCCACATTCAACCCAGGCTGCCCCTTGACCTTCTTCTGAGCTCTAGACTTAGGAAATCCCGTGCAGGATTTAGGGTTTAGGCTTACTGTAACGACCCTGAAGCCCTGAACCTTGGCCCCCTGAACCCGACACCCCACGCCCTATTGCCTTGCCGCTTTTGTGGGCTGCGGCCGTGGCCGTGGCTCCTCTTCGGCAGACGTGAGTTTAGGATTCGAGGAATCACTTTAAGCCTCGCCAGGAGGCTGATTAATAGCTACAGAAGTCGGGTTGCAAGTCCTCGCAGGGGGGGAGGTTCCGGGCGCTGGACTCTTGGCACCTTCACTTGCTTATGAGTGCTCGCACTTAGCGTTTGAGCACGTAGGTTCTACAGGATTGGGCGTAGAGCCTTGCACACAGGATAGGGGCTACTATTATGAGGCATACTAGTTTCTAGCTGGGTGAATATAATACAAGGGGTATTAGAAGGGATGCTATACCCCGAAAACTACAGATTGAAGAGGCTTCCCAGAGACTCCAATATCGCTTCATTCAGGAAATATACCTTGAACCACAGTAGGAACCCCAATATGAGTTACGGAATATTCCCTAATTAAAGGATATTGGAGTCTCCTAAACCCTAAACTCTATAGATCCCTTTAAGGATCCCTTAAAGGAGCCCTAGGTAATCCTTAACTTACTACACCCTCCCCATAAGCAACAGAAATGAAAGGCTAAACTTTCCGATTCCTACTAAACTATAAGAACCCAAGAAGTTTAAAGGATAGGTACAGGGGATTTAAGTTTATGAAAGGATACGGTTGATGATATAAATCCCGCATTGCCCACAATAAGGAATATACCAAAATTCCCATAGTTTAGGGTCCTTAAGGTAATGCAGGATTTATATGGGGGTTTCCGAAAATAGGGGACCCTAATATAGCACCCTAAATCGTAGGGTCCTTATTGTAAGGGCCCCAAAAGAAGGTACCCCTAATTTTCGGAAACTCCTATATCATCCACCACCCTAAACCCCTATAGATCCCTTTAAAGGGAACCCCCTAAAGGTACCCCAAAAGATCCCTTTAAAGGAACCCGAGGGATTTATGTCATCCACCGTATGGGAGTCTCTGGCCTTTGAGGCTCTCGGGGAACACCCGAGCCAGCCTACCTGGAAGAGAGATGCACTGATGCATAGGGTTCCCTTTCAAGGGATCCTTGAAGGGGTTTATAAGGGATCTATAATAATAGGGTGCTGTACTATGAGGCTTAGTAATTCATTATACTTTTGTTTTTTTTGGGGGGGTTCTGATTATAGGCGCGGCAATAGGTATAGATAGAATGTACACCAAAACCCTATTCTAATTGTCAAGGCCCCTATAATATGAGTGGGACCAAAGCCGTGGAAATGGAAGAAGATGAGCGCAGCTTTCCTCGAGGTGCAAATGCCAATAATTACAGCTGATCTGTGATGGTTGAGTTGCTGGCCAACTCTCAATACTTCCGACAGCGAACTCCACAGAATGCGACTTCGGCGAAAAATCAACTTCCTTGCACCTAATTAATTTTAACCCTATGTGGAATATGGAACTGGGTCTGCAGTTTGCCGGATGTGTGAGTCCTCATAGGACGGCGGGTGTGAGCTGAGAAGTATGGAGTCCGCGTTGGCGATGGCCATTGCCATGTCCTCGTCTACGTTTAGGGTGTAGGATGTAAGTTAAAGGCTTTCATGGGGTCGGCAGAAATTTGAATACTCTGGCTTGCTCTTCGCACCCTTGCTTAACTCGGAGACTGAAGCTCAT